AGTTGCTGTGATGTGAAAGGTTACTCTACTTGAATATGTTTGTCAACCATACATATACTGCAACTATGCAGCGGCGCGTCCTTTTGCTCTTTTGAGCCTCGCATTTTGGCCATCTATGCAAAAACGCGCTAAGAGACAAGCCAGAACACTTTTATATGGAAGGAATGCTTAAGCGAAGGACTAAGAAAGTATCAGTCTAATGAGGGATGTGCCTCTGACCACTGACTTTTCGACTTTATTATCATAGCCATCTTTCGGTAAATCCTGGAACTATCACCATTCCCTAAAGGAAACTACTCACAAGGTTGCTGAAAACTCTTCGACAGCTCACGACCGGGTTTCTCCCTCGTGGGGCTCATCAGGTAGGCGCAGCACCCGAATTTCCGTCAACTTTATGATCTACTTGAACCCAAATTGGACTGTTTTCGAGAAATGCACTCATTTGCAAATCAATTTGGTTTTCACAAGAGACTCGACTGCATCTCTCGTTTATGATATTCGCTAGAAATCCAACAACGTACATTATCGCCATGTGCCCAATGAACCTTTTGTGAAAAATTTCGGCTTGCGTAAATCTCAGAACTGGACTTCCTATTTTATTTGATAAAAGTTTGTTCTTTCAGAATGAGACAAGCCGTCGTTCATTAGCCTTGGTGGTGCCTCAGGCTGGTTGTTTTGACTTCAAATGACGCCGTATCTGTCTCTCTCCCAAGCATAACTTTTTAGAGGGGAGTGCGATTCGGGAGACAAATGAAGTAGCTTAGGTGGATGGTTTTGCGCATTCTGCCATTTTAGTAGTGTACCATTTGTCTATTCCGGTTTGATCACGTGATTGCCTCGCCTTGCAACACGTTTGGTACTGGTAATTCGGTATTAAATCTATCCACCATATTTCGATAACGAGCAGATTTTTGTGCAGCTGGAGACACTGAAGGTCATTCAGGCGGATGAATAAAACAAATCAGCTGGATTATCCAAATTTGTTTGAAACTAAATCAAGCCTAATTCCTAAATATCGATATACCAGGGGCAGGAAAATGAGTATGTACATCCCCATGAAAGGACGAAACTAGGATGTTTCAGGTCTTGTCGAAGCCTATTTCTGGTACAATATCCCCCGAGAAAGTGTTATTTGTTAATTCGCTCGCGAATAGTTTAGGAGGGGGAATAATTATAATCAGGTGATAAATGCCTAGAAAGGACGCCATATCAATTTTGTTGCAGTGCAAAAACAACTGAATCATCATGGGCATGATTCCAAATAAACTGCTGACGAGAAACTTGCTATCTCATTTTAATTCCATCCATGGACATGGTCACTTCTCACGTTCTCACGTTTTATGGGGCGAATGGCTGTGCAATGTTATCACCGGTTTTTGATAACCGGCGCAGACACCACTTGATGTTGGATTACTGAGGTATCTTGGGTCGTCTGGCATACGTCTAATTTAGTAATAAGTTTACCTCCAGTCGCTACGTGCTTCATCACCAATCCAAAACGCGCACTTTACTGCCGTAAACGATTCGAAAGCCAGATTCGGGAAAACGGATCCGACCTTGCAGTTCAAAAACGGTCAGGTAGGCAACATATTCACCAGTTGGACGGCCTTGATTTCATATGTTCGGTTTGTAAAACGTTCAAGTTGCAACCGTGCAGTGCACTCGCTATTATACTGTCTGTTCGTAAAACGGACAAACCTTATTGATCGTAATCAACGGTGTGCAGGTGTTTTGGGTCTGGTTTCGGAGCAAAATGACTGCAACCCGTGGGTTTTAAAACAGGCGTTCACGTGGTCCTAGCACGTGGGTCTTCACTTAAATATATTGACCTTTTTTAGAAAGTGGAAGGCTGTGGGATCAGTTCAGATGCGCGCGCGAGAAAGAGAGCGAAATGCTAAGTTTGTCTGATTTGAAGAGTAGGGAAAAATGAAACATTAAGCCGAAGGGCAGACATTTAATTCCGAACCCCCAGAGACTAAAAAACTTGGTAGCAAAAGTCAGCAACAATAATTATTTTATTATTGTAGAAATAGTTGGTGAAAGCCCTTAGAAAGCGGAAAGAAAAGTCAATCTCAAAATTAGTAGACACATCTGGAAGATTTGGTGCATTTCGAAGGCTTTCTCACAGGTTTCTTGTCTTACGTTTCTTCCCATCATCTATGCTTGCAGCTAAACTAGTTCCTCGAATGTTGGTGATCATCCTGTCCAGAAAAAGACAAATGGTACTATCATTTCGGTGTTAGTTTACTAGACGACCTTGGAAGAAGTGTTTGCTTAATTAAAATCGAACTACACCGGTCGCAATAATTCACATTGTTGACAAATATTACGCAAGCAACGAGCAAGGTATCCGGTACTGGGATAGTAAACACTAGGCGAACGCGGAATATTTGCCTCAAAACCATAAACTTTTGAATTGCGCGAATTTATTCGTTGCTGTTTCTTCGTCGCTAATTTCACGCCATTTGGTTTCAAGTAGAACGTAAGGTTGACAGAAACTCGGGGACTGCGCCCACCTGATGAACCCCAAGAAGGTTGAAACCGGTCGTGGGCTGAAGACGAATTTTCAGCAACCTTTTGAGTAGTGCATTACAACTATCCATGTATCACGATATCTCGAATATCGCAGCGATTGAAAAATTAAGCGGCCTGGAGCAGCACACTCAATTATCTGGAAACATCACAAACGAGGGATTCAGCTGAGTTTCAGGCGAGTCTCTCGAAAACCTAAATTAGTTTGCAAATAGTGCACTTCGCTCAGATGTGTTCTCTCTGATGAAATGGCCTACACATCATTTTCTAAGACCATAGATTGCTAATCTCGCGGACATATGTGCGTTCTTGTGGGCAGCTTAGCTATATACTGGCCTCATTAACTCCTGAGTCTTTGCCCGCATACATGCATTCACACGAGCATGCAATGCGAAAAGAGCGTTTGTCCTTTAGACGTGCATGTCATGGTATCATCATTGAACTCATGTCAGAATACTCAAAGCTATCAGATGCAACGTTTGTTTGAACCTTTCGACTTCCCATTAATGTGACTATGTTAGCTAGAACCACTGGCTGTTCACAGTTTATATACCCAAATTCAAAGTGACCAATTTGTCTGATGTGTAGAGTCCAATTTTATCTAACCTTTACTTACTTCGGAAACACCAGAGACCCCGTACTGTATGTAAGATCCATAAGCTATTGGTGCCCTTAACAATTCCATGAGGGTAGGAGTATCCTAGAACTCCACTGGCCGGTTTTAGATACGAAGAAATCAACATCCTCACGACGTACAAACAGGATAATCCTTTGAGATGGAATTTGCGGGGTAAAGAAAATGTACAAGCGAAATTGCCAAATTTCAAGCGATGATTGGATCTGTAAAAGAAACTATAGACTTTTGGGCGGGTGTGAGGTTCTTGGTGGTAAACGATAATCCTGTATCGAGTTGAAAACAGTTACCCCCCTTAAAGGAAACTACTCACAATGTTGCTGAAAACTCTTTGACACCCCACGACCGGTTTCGCACCTCTTGGAGCTCATCAAGTCGGCGCATTTCCCGAGTTTCCGTCAAATTTATGTTCTACTTGAACCCAAATTTGGTCAGATTTTGACAAACACACTCATTTGTTGTCGAAGAGTTTTCAGACATCTTTTCAACCATCCTTCGGGAAAGTATATTGCAATATCTCGAATATCGTACCATATGAAACATGAGGTGGTTGTGTGCAGCGCATTCAGTTGAGGAATATCGTAACCGAGAGATTCAGTTGGGTCTTCCGTGAAAGTCAAATTGATATATTCGCTTAAGTATCCCCATGGTTGAATAAAGAACACAGTTGCGAACATTAATGTTTCCGGGATCTCGTCATCAGGTCAGTATATATCTACTGGTTAAAATAGAGGCGAAGATTGGTTAGTGAAATGCAAAAACGTGGAGATACGAACGAGTGGTTGTCTGCGCCCCCCCCCCCCCATGTCGCATCTAGTTGGATGCTGTGAGACAGTCGAGAGGGCTCTTGAGTCACTCGGCCGGTTGATTCGTGTCATCGACCAAGACGGACTCAGCGTTCGCACGAAACGTTTTTGACAGCACAGTACCGGATTTCGCAGGCGTATAGCGACTGCCTCGGCTGTAGTCAAGCAACGCCGTTGAATAGATACTGCCAGTCTATCTGGTACATGATAAATGACTTGAAATGACTCATTTGGAATGACCACCTACCCAGTGGGAATCAGTTGAGCCTCTGGCTGAACTGTTGAGGTTAATGGTATTCTGGTTATAGAGGTGCTCGTGTATTATCTTAGAAAATTGCAGTGTCGTGCGTATGAGTGTATTTGTCGAAAGCTATCCACTTACTTCATTTTATGTCATGACTACTCTTCACCGCAGAATTGTGAGTCCGCCCCAAAAATAACTCTAACCACCACTGCCAGTGTAACATGATCAACAATGAGGTACAATAACGGTCATATGCGGCTTCTGTTTCATGGGCTGATGATAGCGCAGACCACGTAGAGACTCGGTATGCCAACGCCTGTCCTAAATACCGAGATTCAGATTTCCAAGTATCTTTCAGGACGACAGGGCCATTCTAAGCAGAACAAGGGAACAAGATAATGTTAATACTTTAAAGTGGGATGTGTTGAGGACAAGCCGGCATCAACAAATCAATTTAGAAGTAAAATTCCATAGCAGCATCCTCTGACATCATGATGTGTTGTGTTTTGTTTCATTTTTATCGACCCAACGAAAATATTAAGAAAGTAAACAAAATTCCGGGTCAAGGTCTCCTTCATTTTGGCCTATAGTTTGTGGAAATGAAATTACTGCTAGCTTTTCTCTGCACTAAACCGCTTGACAACAAATGCAGCGTTTTGATGGCCTTATGACAGAAGAGCTTTTGACAGGGTAAAAAGCTTTCTAAAAGAAAGCTTTTCTCGTACATCAGTGGCGCAATTCTTGGTTGCAACCATTGTGTGCATATTTATTCTTTTCCAAACAGCGTCAATCAGCTGCAACAATCTCAGATTCAGAATCAAAAGATACCGTCGTTTGGGCTGGATTTCCGGACCAGTTCCAAACATCGTAGGAACTCTGATCATTCCCTTCAAGGAGGTTTTCAAACCGCCCAACTGGTGAACCCCAGTCAACCTAGACCTCCAGCTAATTTTATGGCCGTGTCGCAAGAGTCCAGCCCGAAGACAAATAATCAGTCACATCCGCAGAAGAATGAAAGCAGCTGGACGTCCCAACAACCCAACAGCCTGAGATGGAGTGAAGGAGCGACCAGGCAAGATGAAAGTCCAAAATCTGGCGAACCGGAAGCGAGATTTAACAGAGGATTGACTGAAGATGAAGCAGGAGCACGACCTTATCCTTCAAACAACATCGCCAGTGGGCGACCAAGCAGAGGTCTTCCACGGCCGGATTCCATGTTTCTTCCCAAGACGGTATCTCTGGAAAAGCCTGAAGGTATGGTGGTCAGTCCGATTTAGACTTCTTTTCTGTAACAGCAGGTTTCCAATTTTATACTACTTGTTTACTATAAGTAGACAATGATGAAATAGGTTTTCCACACCCTAGCGCAACCGACTAAGCCGAGACCGTTTGGCTTTCGTAGACGACCAGTTCCGGACAGAAAAAGAGAAGAAATAAGTGCTCAAGGCTGAGTGTGGACTCCATATTTTTGGATACCCATATCTTTTGGCAGGGACCTTCCCATTGCCACCACCCGCGCAACTTATTGAAGCTGTCAGTGCAGCCTTCCTCAACGATCGTACTTTTACTGAGTGATGCACACTTTTTCTTAGCAGAAGATACTACTCGCAAGACTGCTGGAAAATCTTCCATAGCCCGTGATCGGTCTCACCCTGACTGAGGCTCATGAGGAAGGTGCTGTCTGAGTTTCTACTTGCGCTCAGCTTGTACGCAAATGGAAAAACGTACTAATTTCCAAGCTAATTTGGTTAAACTACCATAAGCCGAATCTGCCGTTTATCTTGTTCTTCAAATGGGTATGCCGCATGATGTCTTTTCCATGTTCCAGTTGAAAAAAAGGTCATAAAGGAGCTATTTAGCTGGACTCAGTTGGATTTTCCGTTAAGGCCAAATTACTTTGAAAATGAGTGGCTTTCTCGAATGAGTTTCTGAAAAAGGCTGTCGTGAGAAATTATCGTCAAGGAACGGAAATCCGCCTCTAGTTGGATCAAAAAAGCGCTCCAAAGGCGCGTTTTTAACGGAAAAATTGACATAAGATTAAGGGAGGCATGAAAATTACTGGAATAATAGAATAGCCTGTAGAAATTCATTGCAACATGTTCTGTATCAGGCCAAGCGTCGTGGACCAAGACTGTGCATAGAGAGGTACTATTAACCGGGTATCGAGAAACGCAGGAAAGGTTGCTATACATTCAGAATCGAGTAGATTTCGAATTTGAAACAGCCTTAGACGGAAATGAATATAGATTGTGCTAAGCATCCAATATAACTTTTATGGAAATGTAAAAAGGTCACGTGTTTACTCCTCGATATCCCTGGTTTTCCTGAAATGTGCTTCACGCACCTTGTACTGTGGCAATAATTCAGCTCCAGTACTCAAAATAATAAAACAGGGGAACACTGAATCCAATCTAGAAAACGTAACCTCAAAGTTCGTCTGAGGTACGCCCAGCATCTTGAGTTTTTTAGTGTGGGTGTCCTTTAAAACAGATTGTCGGGATGCGAATAAACCACCGATGTTAAGACTCTCGAGGAAGTAGATTCCGTTCATCCTAGCAGAAATCCATGATTTTATTGTGTGAACCACTTTACGTAAAGATATATAGGGCCCAGCTGCCTGGGCTAATCGATTTACGGTAAGCATTGGATGGGTGGATGAATTCTTTTCACTAGTTTCTGTCAGAGAACTTGAGCAAATTTCTTTAAAACTCTGACCGACGGGCTACTAAACAGGCTTGATTGTCTCCAAAAGCCAAATGCTGAAACTTTCCATCGGATTAGAGTCATTCTGACTGTTTCTTTTTAATTAGTCGAAAATGGTGGCGTAACTATGTGACAGTATCTTCTAGTTAAATGCTACTGTATTTGTGTGCTCTCAGCCTCCAAATTTACCCTGAGCTATAAAATACCGTTGATAGTATGGGCAGATTTGTTATTTTAATGAATCTTTCGCAGCATAACCGGAGTTAGTCTATTGAAAAAAGCCGAGAGGCACCCTGCAGCTGTTTCATGCTTACTGGAGATCATCGGCAGTGCGCATCTCACGAAACTCCAGGGGGTCCCGAGCCTTCGTCCTCGCGGTCACTAGTTTGGACTCGTAGCTGACCAGCTGTATGTCTAGCTCGCACGCACAAGACGAAATCTCCACTAGTATAAAATATCGGTCAGTTACATGACCAGCATATGCCCTGACTTCACAACATTATTCATGGTGCGATATTTCTGCACATGCTGGAAAGATGATATTGAACTGAGTCGTCATACGCTTGTTTTCAACTGATTGTGTGAGGCGTTACTGTCATACTAACCGGAAATTCTAGTTTCTGAGTTTCATGAACTTTTGTTCAACGGCAGAGAATGTCTCGTTTTAGCGAACACAGAGTTTAGTCAGTTGTCTACCTGAACCAACCTGCGGATAAAAATAGACAATGGTTAACTTTGCACCATGTTGTCTGCTCATCTTCATATACCATGACTATTGGAGATGGATCGATAGCATTGGCGTCACGAGATTGTGAATCATTGAATTTCGCGGCCAGTCGTACTGCATGCCGAGGCCATCAGTCAGCTTCGTGTTAGTGACTTTCAACGTTGGAAAGTGAGCACCTGAGTCTTAATGGAGAACCGGTGAGCGATGGCTTGAGGTTAGGTAGTTTTCACTTATTTGTATGTCCTTTTTATATAAACCAAGTTAATGCACTCCACCGCCACCATCTAAAAACGTGGTGAAGATGTAAACGGTCAGCAAGCCCGGTAAGCAAAGTATTTTAAATATACCAAGCCTATCAAATTAACTAGATCAACACATAGTAGCTGTTCGCCTACCTGCTGATGAAACTAATAAATCGTCTTGCTGAAACTATGGTAAAATACCTTCCAACTTGTCTTACTAGTGGTCATTTGTCTGAGGAGCGGTCCCTCTTGAGGCTGGTTTATCAAGACAGCAAAGATCATAGTGGAGCCTATACTATGCACATGGGTCGAGCAAATGAACTGCTTTAACGGAGGAGTATATTGGATCATCTCAAATGAACATCTGTTTTTGAACTCTGGCTCTTATGAAGATTTTCGGGGGTGGGATGAATTGCCTATTGTGGCACGATCATACATTCGGAAAGTCCCTCTAGTTATAACTGAAAACATCTGTATGATTTGTAAGAGGGAAGTAGTATGCATATAACTGGCCTTTATCAGAAGCTCTCTCAGTGTAAAGATTGGATGAATGTGTTGCTTAGACGAGGAAGGGGCTATCACTGTCACATTCTGGCATCTGTTCAACAAGCACAACCTGATAATGGGTTCAACACTGTGTCTATAGAGAATTCATGAGGTTAAATCGATGTACGAAAGATGGCTTCTTCCCATTCACACAAGAAACGATGGACCATATGACACAAGTATGTCGGACCCGCTTACTGGATCTAATCTTACTGGAAATAAGTATCTGTCATGAGATTGGAAGAAAGATACTCTCGTTCACACCCTATCCGTAGTGCAATCGGGTGGTAATAATAAGGAAAGTCTGATTAAGAATTCAGTCGGCACAAGGCTGTCCTCCTCGAGAGAGACAATGCAGTGAGATAATCAATAAATGAGCTTATCTCTGTCGAAAATGCACGTGTCCAATCGAAAACACGTGTTGTGTTACGTCATCGAAGGTGTTCTTGTACGCGATGAAATCAGGAAAAGCGGTTTGGACCTACATGGTCTAAGCAACACATGTTCAAGCGTCAGAATTACAGTGTCCTTGGGGCTTGTAATCACTGATTTAAAAATAGGATATTATCGATTGACCATTATATAAGGGGGAGGAGACTGTTTGAAACCGATAGTGCTATCATAACAAATTCCATTTATTTACAGGCTCTATCAACAGTCGACCACCGGAGACGTTGTATATACATTCCGATATGAATTACAGAAGAAAAAACGGAGGTAGTAGCTAGGACTATTCAAAATCCGATTGTTCTTACAAAACTCATCTACCGCTTTGCTTTGTTGCTCTTCCTTCGAAAGGGGAGCAAACAGCTTCGAGCAGCTTGGTGCTGAAATCCTGAAGTCCTAGTATTCGAAGGTTTATCACTTGAATTTAACTCTTCCTTTTCTATACGTGGTTAGGTTGTGGAATCTTCAAGTGTATGGCCGTTGTTCTTACATTTCACTTGAATGGAAATCTTTTCAGTTGAAAAATCTCATCTATTCGATTGCCGCGCGAGTAAAAACAAACTGCTTGTACTTGTCTGAGTCGGAAATGTCCTCTCAAGGCACACTGACTAAATACCAGTGGAGCTCTTTCGAGTAGTCCGCCAGGTGTGATGGTTGAACTAACAATGATTTATAGACTATTCTTTCCTATGTACCTTTGCATAGTCAGAAGGATCCTCTTATCCTTATTTCCATGGATTGATGCTTATAGGCCTACTCTGGTGACATCTGAGAGACTAAAAGTTAACATTGAAGGAGTTGTTGACATCACCATCAGTCGGATGAGATAAGGCGGTCATAGGCGGTGGAACGAACTGCACGATCATGTTAAGCAGTGAGACTGACAACTGATAAATTATGACATTTACACTAATGTCGTACACCTGTTTTCCCTGCAATGCCTTCGGCCATGCTGGAACAGTGCTGGAACATCCACATACTCACTGTTTTCGGGTCAAACCAGCAAGTCATCTAAATGGCTCGAAGTCTTACCATCCAGCCGGAAAAAAACTGATGTATGTGGTAAATCACGTTGTTTCGCTCACTCGTCGCGTGACCAGCCCTCCATTGTAAATGCTTTGACGTCATCCGTTATTTCGGTGGTGCTGATACAGTGGTTACCTCTACCACCGTCAGTCGCCAAGTGAACTTTCCGTGAGAAATCAACAATGGTTACCGGTTTGTCAACAATTAGTATGCAACATACACTCCATACAACCAGGTAAGAGATCCAACCTATTTGTGCTTTCAAGTCCCTGTTGGTGTCAGCTGCGTTTTCGTCCAGAATTCTGGCGGTGAAACCAACTATGGAAGCACACGCATAAACAGAATCAATTTGGGTTTGTCAGACGCATTATACAGTTCTATGAGCATCAGTTTACGAGAATTTTACAAACTTCCCTTTATTCCAGGAGTTCCCGAGATGACGAAAGCATCCACTCGCGAAAAATCCATTCTCAATTTCAATATACAACCTACGGAGTACAAAGTAGGGCCAATGGAGCAATCGAAACAACCACAACAACAGAAAAATGATCAGCATCATGCTAGAGAGCTTGAACGGCAACTACAACAGCCTTATTTCTACAGTCCACAATTACCTCATCAGCTCCCACTTCAGCAGCAACAACAACAGCAACAGCAATTGCATCCCGGCTACGCTCAACCCCTGAGTGTGTTTCAACAGGCCAGCCCATCCTACCTGCTGGTTGGTGATATAAACCAACTAGCTGGGGTTAATCAGGGGTCTAATCCATCTTCAGTACCTACCTATCCTGGTATGGTCAGTTCGCTTTTTGGACTGATTGGGAATCAGCCAGGATATCTATGTACACCACAACAGGCCCTGTTAACTCAAACACAACCTGAACCAATGGTGAGCTATCAACAGGTTCCAAATCAGATGCTACCCAACTCTGCGTTGATGAGACCACAGGTAGCAATTGTGGCAACGGATCCGGGGACACTAAGAGCTCTTCTCACCGGTGGTTTGAACCCTCAAACCTTCTTACAACCCATTATCATCCCCACACAACCCCCGTTACCCACGACCAACATGGCACAAGTGAGCAACCAGTTGGTTCCCGCTGGTCAATCCGTATCAGGCGGAAATGAAACATCACCCTATGCAAACTATTCGCCACAACCGGTCGTCACATCAGGTACCGATTATATGAAGGGTATATGGTCCACAGGATCACAGGCCTGTGCATCCGGAACACACGGGGCACCTTCTTTCGGAATACCCGTTTCGCAAACTACTTTCACCCAAACCTCAACAGGAATACCGCCCGTACGAGAGCACAGTAACGATGCAGGATGGTGTGAGCATTCTGTGGTTGGCAGAAACGGAATCCACCAACAACCAACCCAAGCGCGAGAGCCAATCAAGAAAAGCAATATAAATCAGAAGACGGACCATGAAAATTTCTCAGACCTTAGTCGTGATGTAGTGGTCCGGTCTAGGCATGCAACCTCTGGAGACCAGCTATCACGCCCACAGCAGCAACACACACCACCAACAAAGGAGTGTCGAGACCCGGAACAACAAAAAGCGCAAGAGTTTCGACAATCACAGCCATCTCCAAATGATCAAGTGGTTGATCAAGTTGTTCCCCGTATAGGCCATCCACCGCGAACCCTTCGTTTCCTTGCCCGGCCGGACGCAGCCGATGGCCTTGCAGCCATGGAGGAAGTGAAACACATCCCCTCCACTGCAACCACAGTAGCCTATAGGGAACCGAAAAAACTAGAGGCCATTTCCTTGTTTGAGAGCAGTAGATCCAGCGAGAAACCTCTAAGAAGACAACTGACCACAGAAAATGAGGCATGGACCGCGGGAGATTCAGATACACTGGGACGACGCCGAGATCCAAATTCCATTAGTGCCTATTATGAGAGAATCAAACAAAGAGGTAACCGTCCTTTAAGTGCCTATCGACCAACCTCCGTTATGCAGGATGAAGAACATTCCAACCAAGAAAAATTGACACATGTTCGGTCTACTTCCTCTGCCTCTAGAACAACAGGGAATGAATCAAAAGCGGAGAAGAGACTTGATGAGCGGAAACGTCAACCTGTCCGACGGGCGGTTACATTTGCAAACGAGAAGTCCCATTCACCCGAACCAAGTAACCATATACCTGCGAAAGATCCATCTGTAATGTCAGTTGCTGAACGAACTCGTCGTTGGCTTCAGGTTAGAGAACGCGACATGAACGACAAATATCGGTATTCCACATGTGGGTTCATAGATCAAGACTTAATTGATTGTCAGGATTTGGTCCCAGTGGAGGACCGAGTGAAGATGTTCGATAGCGGAATGCACCTACCAAAGGATTCAGACGATATGATTCCTACGAAACTTGAACCGGACAGCAATCCCACCTCGCGGCCTAATTTGGACAAGCCAGTTTACCTGACTGATAATGAGCAAAGAGATAAACGCGCAACAACCCCAAGCAAAGCAGTTGCCTCAGTCAAGCTGCAAACAACCCGATCCACAAGTGGAAGTTTCTTCACACCCCGTTCCGCGGTGGGGCTACAACATTTGAGGTTAGGAACGCCTTCAATCAGTAGACGACCAACTGCGACATCACAGATAACAACCAAGAACGAACCTGAAAAACAAATGAACGCGCAGGGAGATGAACTTGCCAGGTAAGTCAACATTTATACGTCATAACAATGTTTAATTCCTTGCTGATCGACCCTCCAAAACGTTTGACGTAGACAAAACTGTCAGCTGAATCAAAAATTTATTGGATGTGAAGGCAAATATAGATTGTCCTAGTTGAATAACAAGTTAGTAACAAATATCTCGTTTATCTGCGTTTCGGCTTAGGGGATGAAGTGCGATGAGACATGCTGCGCATGGTAGAGTTAAAAAATGAACTAAGGTCGTTCTTTGCCTCAGACTTGGGTTCGTTTATGATATAAGTAGAAAAATCATTGATGCGCATATTAAGAACCATCCGGCTTGGCTGAAACAGTTTGTGGGGACACGTTATTGTCCGGCCGCTTCTCCATATAATTTACTAATCTTATCTGTCAAAGTCAAACGATATACGAGTCATCACACACTGTAACTTTGGCTTTTGAGGTCATCGAGATTTATCATGAGATTATTCTTTGTAATGTGTTGTTTTATTCTGCTAGTATTGTGAAGAATGAAGTGTCCGTTTTCATCACCTAGATGCAGCCAGTTTCGTAGAGGGTGACTTCTAAAAGAACACCAGGAACGATGAAGCATCACGGCTGCCCAACTAACAGAAAAGGTAATAATCTAAGCTGACCCCACGAAGCCCCAAGGGTAGTAAGTATCCATGCGACTGAACAAGTCTATGGCTCTTGAAACCACATCAACCAGTTCACTCATGACATCCGACGCCTCGTGAAAAAACTGTTTGTTTCGTCGATCACTTTGTTCAGACACACAAATGCCATGGAAATCATTCATACTTGCTTGTTTACTCACACAGCGTCGAACACTCTTTTTTTTAAACATCGCACATTCGATGCATTTGAACTGTAGGGCACTCACAAATTTTTTCACATTTATTCATAATTTAAAGCAACATAATACTTCGCACCGTTGCTGCTTTTTTGCGCAAAGCCTCTTTACAGACCTTCTGGCTATGCCTTCATCAAATTTCATTCCAATACTTTACAGTAATTTTTTAAAAAGAGATTACTTGTGGAAAAGGGTTACCTAGTCTCTCCTCCATCGAAGTGCTCATTCTCCGGAACAATCCAGAACAGAGTTGATCGTCCGTAACTGTGGATGCTTCTTTCAGGGTAATAACTGCGTGAAATGTATACCGAGTTTTTTTGCTAAACCTTCAGTCATTTAGTCCAAAATATACATCTTCATTCAAGAGTTAGTGTGTTAACGAAAAGTCATCAACTCAGAGCTGAATCTGGTGAAAAATAATATCTATTTGTCAATCAACTGAAAATGTTTGGAACCGATTGGGAAGTCATCGTTCAAGAGAGGTTTGCTAAACAATCGGCGGATTTATTACTGGGCAACGTTTCGCTTTTGACACAAAAGCTTCATCAGGCCAAGTGAGTAAGTAAGATGGTTGATTGGGTTTCAAGGCAGTCAGGGAACCAATCCGTGAGATTTCTTATGACTGGCCGACTTGATCAGTGCTGGGTGTTCAGTCTGATGTTCCTGTTTATTGGTTAGTCGGTATGACTAATACCTACGATAGATTGGTTAGGGGGGAGCGGGTAGAATCCAATCATGTCTGATCTGGGTCCGGACTGCTCCTCAATAAATCCCAATGTGTACCTCGTTGGAGGAACACTACTCATAAGGTTACTGAAAATTCCTGGACACCACGAATGGTTTCAGCCTTCTTTCGGTTCATCAAGTAGACGCACTCTTCTAGATTCTTCCAATCTTATGCCCAATTCGGACGCAACTATCCAAACTACGTGCGTCTGCAAACCAATCTGATTTTAAGGGAAAACTCAACTGAATCCCAGATGAATCTCTCGTTCACGATGTTCTTCCGTTGAATAGACTACACAAGGGCAGTGTCGTGTTTTAATTGTCACAATATTAGATAAGTTAGTATATCTTCTTGAGTAAACAAGAGATCCGCCTGGAATTCTGCTGAGTCTCCTATCGAAACCAGATTTGTCCAGCGATGTGTCCTTTTTTAGTTGAGGCACCTGTCATTAAACGTGTTTTTTGTCCCATCTTTCATATGCTGCAATTCATTATTGTCCGGAAACAGGGTTTAGGAAAACACCTGTTTCAGCTCCATGAAAGCCAGGCTATTAAAATATGGACAATACGCAGTGCACCTCGGCTGCCTGTGTATGCTGCTAGGTAGCGTACTATCCTGTCGTCGAGTTCGACTGACGTCGAGGAACTCCATAGTGCTGTCGCATCCCGCTGAGATGATAAGCCTCAGGGTTTTGTGAATAGACCCAAGCAACTGAGAGAACCAGCACTTGTTTATGGTGTGAACATATGGTAGAAAATGTTACCCACTTACCGTCTATACGTATGAATGTATGTATGTATATATGTATGTATGTATATATGTATGTTCAGTTTGTATTATAGTTACACAGGGTAACGCAGTCCATTTGTTTGTGCCAGATTCTATCTAACTAATACCACAAGGTTGATATGGAGCCTTAGCACAAATTGGAAAGAGAATGTTAGAGCATACATGGTTAGCCTGAAGAGTTATCTTCCACCATACGACGGCGGGGTTGGAAACATGATATTCGAACATTTCATACAGATCGAGAGTATCAATCTGACATTTCATAATCTTATTCCCGACTGATATGTTTGCGGCACCATAGCAAAACCATTTGGTGCTGCTAAACATGTCTATCCAGCTGTTCACAATATCACGATTGCCACAATGTAACAATAACCTCAGCTTAAAACTCGTTTCATTGATAATCCAGGATAAACATACCCGAGTATTGTACAGCCGGTATAAAAGCGTAAAAGTTAGCTTTCTTCTAATGGACATCTATATCGACATCTAATCGGGTTGCACTGTAAGGATTTCGCACTTTTCCGCCATAGCGTGCACTATAGAAAGAGTTTCTTGTTTTCTATCCCAAAGATTGATGAATTGCCACCAGTCTACAGCTCTCAGTTATTTTGAGTACAAATATGAGACCCGTTTTAGAGAAGAGTCAAGCTATTCAGGGAAAAAACTGCACTAATTTATCAACCTGAGTAATTACGACGGCTCAGTGGACAGAGCGCTAATTTACTGACCAGAAGGTCCGTGTTGCGAATCCGACTTCTGCCTCTCGACTTCGCCTGTCTAGGCTTGGGCGACCTGGCATTATCCCAGCCCTCGTGCTTCCTTCTGGAGGCGTAGCAGTCAGGCACTGACAGAGTGCTATAGCTGAACGATGTTTTCACGAACTACGACGGGCTGTTGTCGACTGCATTCTGTCATAACAACCAGAGCAACCATAGTTATTCGATCCCATATTTGATTTGTCTCCTTGAAGCTGAAATGAAGGTGTAACATACACCACAAAGAGTCGCACTCCTAATGCAGCTTTGCAACCAACCTCAATATAGAAGTTGATAGGAGGAAAATTACTGTATCACTGTGTCGTTTCCTTGAGATTTGAGCTGCTTCCATAAACCAGAATGGTTCTCAGTTGATTGCGCTTCTTCCCTAAATAGTATATTGCAATGATAAAACATTCGATTCGCTGATATTCTTACCCCGGAGAGGGCTGGATCTTTTTGAGCGAGTGGTAACATCGGAGTAGGCTATTTAACGTCCAAAAAGCCGTGACTGAGAGTAGCGTGTGCAGCTTTCCAGCTTACCTCAGTAGGCTTGTTGATGTCAATGGCACGAGGTAACATGTTTTATGTCATCTGCGGTGTGCAGACACCCTGAAGTTTCAAACAAAACTAATTCGCTCTTGTTACTGCGATTATCTTGATCGACTCGCCAAAGCAGAAGAAATTTAGTATCAATAACTTTATCACAATTTCGGAATGTACTTAGGGTAACAGAGCAGTTTGTGGGTACGAAAAACTGGTACGTCGGAAAGGAAAAGTCCTACTAATCTAGTGATTTCATTAGCAGTACCCTCAACAGGATCCTCATAGTGGGTCCTGGGTTGGCTACGCATTCATTAACAAATGTGTAAAAACATGAAAAAGAATTTCAGATTGCCCATTGGCTAGGGTGCGAACCCGAAGATCCGTGGTTCGAATCCAGTCTCTGCACCATGCACCAAAATGGTGCTATATAGGAGCCTCCCTCAGTCTTTGTGTAGTTCGTCCACACTACTCTAACCCTCATATCGGAATCCTTTATGAAAATACCGGCGCACGAAAGAGTTGCTTGCGTGCAGATCAGTGGATCACAACAAATTCATGCCTGGTCTAGGAACGTTTGGAGGAACTGGTCGAGGTATACAACTACGCGTATGGATCGGTAAATAATACACACTGGTGCAGTCACTCTGTGTAACACGTGGTGCTGGGTGAAATTCACTGACGCAGTTTCAGATAAGCTGGTGTGATTTGTAACACAGTTTTTTCTGCTGATCAGTTTTGTGGCAATTTGTTTGACAGCTTGACCTAGAGCAACCTTGCTAGGCTATTTCTAGAGTTGATCGTACCTTGTACATAATGAACATGTGGCTCTGGCATCAGGAGTTTGTGTGCGGATGAACTGGTGCAGATAAGTCTGCAAAACGTTATGCAGTCTCCTAAAATAACTTTCTGATCAGAGGATAAATCGCTATGCTAAATCGCAGTGCTATTATTCTTTAGACTTTTTAATGATTTGAGACCGACCTGGGTCGATCACATGATGTTTTTGGTGTCTGCGCACCTCCTGTTTCTAATTATCGATACAATTAAATTGGAGCAGTTTTCGCTCATTGTTGTTCAGTTCCGTGTAATTTTGTTTCTGCACACAGTGTTAGCTATTTACACGACTTGCAACTTTGAAAATTGTTGTGAACATAGGAAACAAAAAGTGGCAGAGTGTCGCAGTTTCATATATCGATTTTGGAGGCAGTAGCACGTTGCCTATGAAATTTAAGTTTGCAATAAGACATTTCAGTTAGGCGATCTTGGCACAGATGGAATGGAACCTAGGAGGAAAGTGAATCTCCTTTCCGAGATTAGCACCCCCAAATTCGATTCTCCTAAATTTCGCAGTCATCTGGTCATCTAGAATAAAGTAACCCGGATTAAGGAACCAGGTCAGCCAATCGACTATTTTTGTCAAGGATAGTAGCTAGTTGACGATCTATCGGGCGTGCTTCCTAAATTTGGATTTACTTTTGAATAAAAAAATCACTCAGTCGTAGCATTCCTTTGGTGTCTAGCTGCCATGCCACCCGAAGGTTGCACGAGGGCTGATATAATATCAGGTTGCCCAAGCCTAGACAGGGGAAGTCGAGTGGCAGAGGTCGGGTTCGAACCACGGAACTTCCGGTCAGTAAATTCGCGCCCTAACCACTTGGACCACCTCACCCCACTTACCGTTGACATGCAAAAGTTACTTCCTTAAGCCCGTAAAATTAGGTTCGTCTCTTCCTCCACCATTGTGCTCCATGACCACATGAGCCAAAGGACATCCAAGGTGCACTTTAATGCGTTTTTACCAACAACAAGCAGTTGCCGTATCTGGTAGCGGGGAAAACACCCAATTCCTAGTATTTCACTTGTCTTCATTTGAAACAAATTTCACAGAGATTTACTGCATTCCTATTTGCCTGCTCCTTCTCTATCCGCACTTATAAAGCCAGCTACCTCAGTTGTTCTTAGGGCCCCCTTTGTTGGAGGCTCAAGGACACTCACTTTATGGGAAGTAGGACCCTGTGTTATTTATTCAAGTTGTGTGATTCATCAATAATACGGCAAGACATGTAATTGCATGTAAGTGAAATCCACTCCAGAGACGATGAACGCCCATAGCTCTCTCAGTTTGTCCTCGTTTCACGGTTTCTCGGCAATGTTGTAGTTCCTGTTTGAGCAGCCGGTTCCACACAGAATTACTTTGACGTAGCTTACATGAAATGAGGATTAGCCTATAATTCACCGTCTCCACGAATTACGCTCCTGTGAAGGACTGAAAACTGCCTAATATAATTCTGGCGTTTATTATGACTATCCTTTGCTTACTATGTTCCCGCAATCAGCAGCTAATTTTGGATAGTCACTACCGCCGTAGTGGTGAACAAAACCGATATGTTTAGGGATTTGGTTTGTGACTAGACACCGGGTTAAATTTGATTGTTCCGCTTTCGGGCACAGGCAAGGAAATCTCGTTGACAGATGTACTTTACAGATTCTTGAGGTTTTTTTCCTTTTTTTTTCTCTTGGATTACGAATAAACAGACTAAGAGATACACGGGAGGCTTGCACTCAGGATCAAATATTACATCGTTGTGTTCTTCTTGATGGAAAGTGGTGGAGTTTTTGAGACTTAAAGCAGGTCTGGAAACCGATTTCTCTTGGATACGAATAAACAGACTAAGAGATACACGGGAGGCTTGCACTCAGGATCAAATATTACATCGTTGTGTTCTTCTTGATGGAAAGTGGTGGAGTTTTTGAGACTTAAAGCAGGTCTGGAAACCGATAAGCAGACGATACGGAGAACCAAGTTCGGCAGAGCATAGTACAACATGATCTGATAGATAGGGGTTGGAGTAGCACATCGCCTTCGACTTAGAGCAGTAGGGCTGCAGATCAGAAAAGCTGGACAAGGAAGGTGGTGGAGGAAATAACGCAGCCTCAAGAACTGCAGAGTCTATTCGGGAAGAAAACGGGACTCATTCATTCCTTTGAACAAAATCTTTTTTACGAAGACAACTGCCACACTAAGTTAGGAGTCCAAAACCTCGGGTGAGGCCGAGTTTGAGCTGATGAATGGGACTGGAAGAAGGACGAGAAGGTTCCAGTGCAAAAACATGTGATGAACACTAATCCCCTAAAGTGGGAAAAATAGAAAACATAATTATGCGATTACTACCAGGTGAGTTGAACACAATAGGAGATTTCGATGTCATTCAAGAACGATGCAGAAGTTGAAGTGGAGGCGAATACTCACCTGGCCGATTGAAAGTCGCTATGAAGAAGGTGCTTTCTGAAGTTTGGGAGTAATGTTTAAGGTTTTCTGATCAAAACGACTTCAAACCAGGAGGATGGGTATATATTTTCCTCAAAATGATCACCATTTTGCACAGGTGGTAGGTATTTTTTCTGAACAAAAACATCAGCTGAATATCATTTGGCACTTGGTTGGTGGGATAAAATTTTCAAAATGGCTCGAATTTTTTCTCAGCGTTTGTCGAAAATCGGTGCACTGATTGAGGTCTAAAATCCGAGATAAGCGGGTTGTAGTCTGTGCCAATTTCTGCACTACAATGAAATCGATAGATGAACTGTACTGGTAGTTACCGAGAGATGGAAACTATCATTACACATTCCGAATTGCTCAGAATACACAGATACTCCAGTTAGTATTCTTGTAGGTCAGCAAAATGTTTCCTTATTTTTGGTTGTATAGATGTCAAACAAGCATTAGAGACGGACAGCATTCTAACAGAAACAGCTGAGCTCATATCACTTTACCACTTACTGCCATCTCAATAAATTGAGATAAACGTTTCGACAAATCGCGAACACATGAAACCAGCTGAGTGACGTGGAATGGAGAGAGGGAGTGGGAACGTTGAGGTCACTGATGCTTAAGAGAGTCAGAGGAACATACAACGAACTGCTTGGGGGTTAGAAAATTAGAAGAAACAGTTGGGGATAGTAGAATGGGAAGGAAGGAAGAATGTGTAAGTCTTATATATGAGCCCAACTATCTTAAAGCCAATGTTGGTACCAATTATTTTTGAATACATGAGTCGCCTGATGGCAAAACCCGTCGCCCAGGGAAGCACACTAGATCATTTTTTGGAGCTCAGAGACCGAAACGCACACATTGTCGCAATACAGATAGTGCCTAGGCGACGTTTTTTCATGGAAAAACTTTCAATGGACCTAAATAACCAATTCGGCAAATATTCAGAAACACACGTAGATAGGCGCCTTTCCGTCATAGCTAAATATGTTTCCACACTTAGCCTGTTAAATGTAGACGCAAACAAACAGAAAATATCTGTTCATATCTAAACACATCGGAGTGACTGCTTAAAAACGTGTTGCAAAACTCATTTGAGGAGATGGCCGATCCTGGTTAAGACGTTATCACTTTTGAACAACAGATAAGCCGAGCAGACATGCGGCAGTGTGCGGTTGTCAATCAAGTGGAACCGGGAACAGAAGTGATAAGTGGTAAAAGGCCCAACTTGAACCTACCCAACCCAAATTCACGCTTTACCCAACTGTCGTAGCACATATTAACAGAGACCTTGAGTAATACGAATTCACATAAATTTCACCCCAGACTTGAAGCACGTTAACTTAATCCTCTCCCTCCCACTTAATCAGCCCTAAAATCTGCTCACGCACAATGGCAAACAAAATCACCAACCAGACACAGAGTAGAAAGGGATCTTCCTTCTATTTTCAGACTCAATTAAGCTTACACTATAGTTATTTGACCTAACGAAGCTTCTTCGTGTAAGTTAAAGCAATATCCAGCAAACTCTTCTGAAGTTGTCCAACAAACTTGCTTTTAATGGCTGAGGCAATCAAGGGCAAATTCAAAAGGCTTGGAGAACCAGAATGGAGCTACAGACATGACAAGTCTCGTTGCCAACAACTGTTTGGCACGAGACCTTTGGAATGTGGCTAATCCCTGTAATATGTTGCGAAATTAAATGAGCTTAGGCAATCCCTTCAATAGGCACGGCGAATAATATTTACTTTCATATGCCCAAAGACTTTCTCGTTGAATTGCTTTCAATTTACGGTCTTTCTAGCATGAGTCTTGCAGAGAAACGTCGACTATTCAGCCGACAGAATCCACCAAAAACGGCCAACAACATACGATCAAACAGTCGCAGGAAAACCCAACCGGTTACGCTGGATGACCTAGCAAGAGCCAATCAGCTGATCCTTGCAAGATTGGATGGGCGAAGTTTGGGTAAGTTCTCTCCATAAGTTTTATGGAAAACCTTAGTCAGCTCACTCCTAGTTTCATTCCTTCTGAAGCTAATCGGATAAAACAAGACCCCGAGTTTTCGCTGATGTTCTGCTTGAATTCCGCTCTTTGTAGTACATTCAGTTACAAACTTCACCAACGAGCGATTCAGCTGAGTTAAGGATGGCAACTTCCAACTATCAACAGCCGGCTTCCCTCATTGATGTGTACAGTGCTCAGAACATTTCATCGGAATGTATTCATATCTGCATACTGCACTGTAAACCACGAAACACTGTGTACAATCACTTGAACATTCCTCTCGTCACAAAGCCAGTGGTTTGCATGATTGAAATTCAGTCGCTTGTATCCAACAAGCAACGCTTTCAGACACAAATGAAAGGGGACTGGGTCCGATCACGACGAACTGCCGCATGAAGGTCGAATCTGTGTCTCACCTTTGTTCGACTTCAGCTCCGTTTTCGCCAACTTTTAAGTAATGACCACACACTTAAAGAATTGCCATTCGTCAAAGAGTTCTCAGCAACCTTATAAGTAGTTGCCTTCATAAAAAAGACTATTCATTCATTTAATACATTCCATTTTTATCGCGAAGTGACTACGTTTGATTGTTCTCATGACTCCAATAGACCAGTTTTACGGGGATGTGATACCGAATTCGAGGAGTCTTTGCTATGTTGCAAACTTCTAATATCTGTGACGTTTTCGTAGATTTCACTAGAAATTCCCCGCCTTCTGGAATCTTAACCTTTCAAAGCTGAGGTTTCAAACCACTCAAGTGGTATTCACGACAGATTAAAAAAGACAAAAAACATTTGTTTCCTTCAAAATCTCATCTAAGTAAAATAGTGGTTGTGTTCATTGGAGGTACTGAGTTTTATGTTTGTTAATAGAGCCTGCAACCAGACGGGGAGTAGTTTAACGATCTGAATGAATTACCTTCTACATAGTCTCCCCAAAAATAGATTAATCACAAATTTTTGCAAAATTCTCATCACGGGGTTAACATTGTCGAAAGAAATGGATACATCACCCTGAGCGTAATGAAACGTACAGAAGAAAACGTTGCCACACTTTCATTGTGCTGGTGGCTGATCGGATGGTAGTTGATCTGTTCGCTGGGCTTGGCAATTGGCTTGCCTTCCTTGTTTACCGCCTGACCTTCTTGTGAGTATACCACAGAACACACATGATACGTGCACACAGAACGCAGACTCGCTCAGTATGCATTCATTCTTTACTGAGAAAGATACAATCAACCGTTTAATCACCTTTCAGTACAATTGGTAATTGTATAGCTTCTGTCAAGGCCCAGTTGCGAACACGACCTGAAGTCGTTGTGCTACTTTTAAGTGCTGTGTTTCGAGATTGTTGGTTCTCTGAGTAAACGCTCACAGCAGGCCGGTCCGCCAGCCATAATCATCGCCTATGAAACAACTCACTGCTGGCATCAAATGCGTGATTTTTGTTTACACAGACAGACTGAAGGTGGTGATGGTCTCTATTCAAGGTATATTCGTGAGAATATGGGCACTCATGCTTAGATCGAGCTTAAAGGGAAACACATTTGCCCGGAAATTCTTGCCCTCCATTTCCTTTCAGCTGTCATGCACATCATACCCACTGGTCCAATGAGTGAAAATGTAGAATCGCCAGATCCAGTGGATGTTGTTTGTGGAGGAATCAATAGTGGCACTAAAGGAAACATATAATTGTCGGGGAACAATTATAAAGTAGTCGATACTATTTCCTAATAATTCAAAATATATGCTCACTGTTTCCTACTTTAATATCCTCTTATGTTTGCTCCTAAAGGTAACATGTTAAACACGTCAAATGGCTACATCGTTTCGAATGCGATACTTTCACCGGTTTCCAGAATGAGGTCATATTTTTTCTATTAGACCACATATCTCCCTGTCCCCGGAGAACTCTGTTCCCTTTCACAATCTTTCCCACTGAACCTGTTCAACGGTGTATGTCAAAACGCACTTCCATTTCCTGTTGATGCTCCCTTCGGATCATACCACAGACAGATACCTATGATAGATAGATATAGATAATCGTATAGATAAATTTGCCTCTGCATCAGAGGTGTGTGGATATAAGTGGTTTGACGTCATGGGACATGATCTTGGATTTGGTTTGATGTGGGTGCTTTCTGTTAAGCGTCTGGAAAGATTCACTGTGATCTACTTCCTGGTTCACGTTTGGTGATAAATTTCACCCGTATTCATATAAAGGCAGCATTGACCAACGTTTGTATTGTGTTCCATTTCCGGTTTGCCGAAAGATATAAGGACCAAAAGTAAAGTTCAGCAGCAAATGCTTGTTGCGCAAAAATACTTCTTCTGGTGTGAATAGATCTGTTATGTCGCTCGGCTTGCTAGCCATTAAAAGACTGTACTCTCACTAGCTGGTACAATTGAGTCTTATGGTAATGTGGGGATAGTATGGAGCTTTCAGTTGAGGTTGCACTCTGTAACTGAAGCTGATCTATGCCGAAAAGCCTCGAATGATCGGACAGTTATTTCATCATCAGCAGTGCGTATCTCACGGAAGACCGGGGAGTTTCGAACGGAACACGTTGTGGTGCGTTCTGATTTGACTGCAATGACAGTGAAAATACAGTCCTGAAACAATGATTAGTAGTCGTGCTCACCGCCTAAATTTTCCCGCCAGTTGTTCTGTGCCTATTCATTCGTTTGGATTGTTTGATCACAGGTAAATCCGACTGCACCAAACATCAATACTAATAGAAATAGGCAATGCGTTATCAAACAAACATGACTTTCCTTTTGTTAACCTGTTTGGTTGGCGGACCATGCATCACTGTTTGTTGTAACATTCATATTCTCAGGCGGTTTACTTCATACTTCCTCTATTCGGTAACTCTCTGCACTGAAAGCACAGCTTGTAACATGGAAAATGAAGCAGTGCATTGTTTGATGATGATACTTGTTTGCAGTCGTGATCACATTTATAAAATCATGAACTGAAAACTATTGGAGCTGAAACGTGGACTCTCAATCCATGGATAAAATGGGTATTAGCCAGCGGGAACAAACATGAAATTTATCAAAAGTTTCATAGAAGGTAGTCTCTTAATGTCCACGAGCATGAGGCAAATAGGCACAAAGTGTACCAACAATGCGAGACGATCTTCACCAAACAAAAAACTACCATTCGTCAGGAAGAGGGTATGAATATTCAGGCGTCAGAGACTTTGGGAAAGATTTGATTGGCCCTGAATCGGGCAGGCTGAGGAACGAGCACTGCTGCTTTGATCGATCAATGCAGACAAAATTCCTCGTCGAGAGCTCTTCTTTTTGGAGTGACGTAGGTAGAGTGGTATAGTCCATGATGATTTAGACTATAAGGAAGATATCCATAACTATGTTAAACCTAATCTAGCACATATGTTATTGAAAAGAGCATGAAGGGTATCAAATGAAGAACATCATAATTGGGAGATTCAGATGGATTCAAGGTGAATTCTCTATCAAAAACAAATTATTATGCAGATATGTGTATTATTTAGGTGATAGCCGTTGTGATCCCCAAAACGCAGTGTCCAATTTTCGTTTCACGATTTGCCACCTATCTCCAAACTAGCCGACTGTATCCGCAGTGAACTCGTTGCGGATTTCATCGTGCTGATACTTTATTTTTTAGAATCCCCCTCAAGTATTTTACGTGATGACAATGAGAGTTTCGGTTTTCCAGAACGGGCTTCGGAAGTGTCCACTCCCGAAGCCAGCATACTAAGTAAGTCCATTTTGCTCATGTTTTTTACAACTGGTTTAACTTAGGTTAACGAAGAATGAACTTACATTTGTGTATCCCCTGGCAATGAATAGTGGGTCACGGTGATCTGATAGGGCACTTCAAAGCATCCATAGTTTATGATATTCATATGGTGACCGATGTGTCAACGATAAATCTTACAGCTTAGGCTTTGTTTGTTTTTATACTGGAAATGGCTAGATTGTATTCATATACGCAACCCGCTGTAACCACATACTGTGGGTCGCATTGCTTAGGTATATGACTTTTAGTTAATTGTACCTCGAATCGTTGGTCCGTGAACATACGCCAGTCCTAGTGAACAGTGAACAAATCATGCGTGCTATGTTTCAAAAGTGGCCGTAAGGGTCACAAATAGCACCTAGATACAAGCTCCCTCAACAGTGCATTCTTCTGACTTGCATGAAGCTCCGCTTGCGGAAGCATAAATCGACCCAACAGATGTAAATATTTCATGTGTTTGGCAATATTTGAACTCCGGATAGATATTCAGTGTTGATTGCAATTGGTTTGCCAGTTATAGTAGTTTGTAGAAGTATGTCGTGGCGATGAATGGTCACCAAGAACTGGGAACAGAACCCAGAAGCAGGGTTCCACAATCGACCCATCCGAGTCGACATTCTCTGCTGGTATAGTGACAAATCTTGAGACTAAAACAATGGATGAAATTGTTCTCCTGAAATGTGGAAACGTCTATTAGGACAAATTGTTTGATGGCTCCGAGATTAAAGAAGCTGATGAAATCATTCAACTGCTTTTGAAATCTGATAGATGAATTCCAACGGTACGGAGAGAATTTAGTGTGAGCTTGGAAGGTCATTGGTAGCGGACAGGAAACCGATGCCGGGAATATGGTAACCAGGAAAATTTCCACGAAAATCCTACATAATAAAAGGATGGCACATTCAAGTGCATTGAGCGAACTGCTCACCATCATCATTCGACCTCTGAGACCATTGTTTTCCTGACTATGTGCAACACATTCATGCGTGCTTACAATCAGTCACAACCTAATACTCATAGTTGCGTCCAAGATAGGCCATTGTGAGTGCTAAGTGCAAAACTGTCCATAAAAGACTAGGCTAGAACACTGCAGCTTTAAGCCTGACAGTGAAGTATCTTGTGAGAACAGAGTGCAGCAGGACTCACACTATAATGTGCTGCCTGAGGATTACCGTGTCGTGCTCAGGAGCGCGAGCGATTTGGGTATCCGGATTTCGCAGGAGGACGCAAGATCGGTTTGCTTCCATTTTAAAGAACACCTAACAACACTGATGAGGTATACTCATTTGCAACTTTTGTTTTGTTTTGGCCCGAGACTAAAATGATATTCGCACAATTTTCCCTATAATACGCCTCTGTTTGAATGCTAACAGTTTTACCCCAATATACGTTTTTTTGTTGAGCCGCCTGATTGAAATTTTCCAGTTTGAGTTACATAACAACTAGCCTTCTAACGGTAAAATATGGCACCGGCTACTTTATTTAGCGTGAATACCATGCTCAGCGATTCCTCGAAAATTGGACGGTGCTTACGTCGGCTACCAAACCTAACTCCCCCGCTGAGTTCAATAAGTGGAGCTTGAACTTTCTGATCACATATTATTTATCCAAAAAGTCATCTTCCTAAACGTTCTGCAGCTGGAATGCTGCCATTTGTGTGTAGTCATTCATCTGTATTCTACAACAGAGATTTAGCCCGGGACCATTATCTGAGTTTAGCAGTCAACCCTCCTTTTCAGATAGTTGAGCTTGTGCAGTTGAACTAATTACGATCCACAGTGCTGCTTTTTATACTACCCACGGTTTGTCTAAATTGTAACCTTAAATGAGATGTCCAGTTAGGTGGGGCCATGAGAAAATGGAAGTTGACCCACTTTGGTTTCCCTCAAACCCATTAACTGGTTTAGCGTGAATACCTTACAACAGGCTTTCAATGGGGTAGCCTACCCCAAGTCGCTGCCAGATATCAGCTCAAAGCTCTGTGCGAATGTGAAATTCAGGAATGATCCGGACAAGATTCACTGGAACAGCTTCAGTTCGTGGGCCGTGGTGGTAATCTTTAGGCCACGACTACATGTGAGGGTTATTTATCACCGATAAATTATTCTTAGTCGAACCGGGTGCGTTCAGATTCAGCGGCCGTCTTGGAGTACTCCCAATTCACCAAGTCCCCGCACAGAGTCACGTGCATTGGGAATCAGTGTGTACGGCCAGAGCACGGAAGTGCCCTGGAAGTGCAGTAGTGCCTCCTGTCTGGTCATGCGCATAGACTTTCCGCCAATTGGATTGGCTTTCAATGCTTCTGCCATAGCCAATAGGGATGTTGCCTGAACTATCGATCTCGTTGTTGATTGGCTAATATTTAACACAGAAGTAGCGCGCGACTCGGTTGGTTGCACGCATCACTCACGCCCGGCTTTGTGATTCAGACTTTTAGATCAACCTGGGCGAAGCAGTTTTCTCGAGTACAGGGACTACTGATCACGAACCGAGTGGCTTGTACATTCTTCAGTTACAATCAAGTTTTCGAGGGCGGATGAATAATGTCGATCAAAGATAGGTAAGTTGTCACCCGATTGCGGATAGACAATATCTCATGTGCTCTGTGGATGTGAGGTTGCTTCATTTACTCCATAAAAAGTCACGTCAGGAAGATACTGGCATAAAATGCATGTGTTGCAGAGAGAGAGACTTCAGTGGTTAGGTTACTGTTTAGCGTTTCCTGTGTTTTTGTCTTTATATCACCGGATGGCGGCTGATTTTCATTAACTCGCATTCTACGGCCATTACTATCAGCACATGCACATAATCATAGCACGGATTGTCTGAAATTGTTGACATCCACACTTTCTCCATATACTCGGTAACTTATATAAGAAACATGAATTTGTTGATTATGTTTAACTTAATATCGTTCTGTTCAAAAGGTTGAGAGAAGCGTCAATTAGTAACTCAGTAAAGGTCAAGGATTCGATAGTAGAGAAGTGCAACTAATGATAAGCCGACCTGGTCTCCGTTCCATGACTCCAAGCCAAATGTATCCTCTTAATCTAAACAGGTATGGGACGCTTTCCAGCAGCAGTCCGTAATGTCTTACTAGGATGCGTCATAACAGTTGAATGTCCGCAAATTCTCACCGTTGTCGATCTGGAATATATCATTGATACTGTTCAAATGCAAGAGGTACAACCGTTCCTAGATGATTTCGCCAAAGGAACTCCATTCTTTGATTCACGCTTTGTAGTTGGAGGGTGTTAAACCTATTTCGCCTAACAGACCTCTTAAAACGAAAGTAGGGTCCTTAGAGAGAGAGGGAGAATCGCAATCTCGGGATCTTTGTTAGCCCCACGAATTCGTTCCATGGCCCACGAAGGTCAGAAACTGATCCAACTATGGCTCCAAACGGTATCACTTGGTCATGATGACCATGTGTATAGAATAATACACTACAGCTTATCTTGCTCTATGGTGTCAAGGTTGGCGTATGCAAGCAAAGGGTCTGATGAATCTTCAATTCTTTGAAATCCGGTGTCTAAGTAATGTTTGCGCCCTTTGGGTAAGCAATGAGATGTGCATGAAGCGGTTTTGGGTTGTGTAACGAATACATTAGTCGATACCTTAAGTCAATCTACCGAGAATCGTGCCCAGCAGAACAGGTAGTAGTGGTCTAGTCGTACGTTGCAAATGCCGATTCATTACTGTCTATCAGCCTCTGTTCTTGATTCCGATTAGCATAAACAACACATCGGACAAACGTTGACTTTGAAAACAATGCATGGGCGATGCCATAATTAGCTGGTTGCTGTTGTTGCCACTCGATTCTCAGGATGATGTCCGCACCACTCTCCTGTGCTTGTGTGAGGAAGCTCAAGTGATCCCAATGGTTTCTGTCCAGTTCGTTAAGAGTTCAGAGGCATAGGTACTTTTTCGACTGTCCCTAGGTCCTGCTTCTTCTATGTTTCATTATTCTTTTCGCGCTATAGCATTTTGGAGTATTTCAGATTGATGGTTGTTTAGTAGGGAAGCACTGATGTTCAACACCATTGTTTTTGTCGTTAATGCTAATGACCGAATGGCTGTTCTTGGGTTAATGTTCCATGTATTGCCCCAAAGTGATGGAATACGGGGATCCTACAAATCCAAGTTATTTTGTAGCTACGTACTGTTACTGATGATCTATGAACTCAGCCTTAATTACGGATAGTCTAAGAGCCCAAGTGGTTTAAGTTCAGGACTCACTATACTAGCTGAATTAATTTGGTGCTTGTCGTTCAGGCCTTGGTTTCAGATCGGTAAAACAATTCAATAACAACGAGCGGCTAGTTAACGCATAATTCTGAAGGTCTGATCTAAAGCTCCACTTATTGTATCTGATGATGCCACTTGGATGAACTAATTGGAGGTGCATTGTCCGGTGCATTCCTAACGGTCCCTGGCTCTTGTGCTCTCAGTGGGCTCTCGGTCTATGGGGTTTCTCCAATAAATTCATGGTATTGTCTTGAGTGCAGTGGTCGGCTGAAAGCTGCTTATGGGTACCAGTTTCTACACTGCAGAGCACTATATAGAAGCTGACTTATAGGAATCGAAATACACGAGTTCGCCACTTGATGTTTACACAGTCGATTTCTGATTTCCTGGGTTCTTGGGTCGTCTATCTGCTCGCCATTTAAACTCTGTTAACTTGATACAAAAATTTCACAAGTGAAATGAAAAGTTGCACTGGATGAATGTATGGTCAGAATTCACGAATTGTTCCCGCATGAGCTGTGAACCCGCACTAGTTTGTCGCAGATAGCCGGTAACGTTTTAGTCGATTTCCGTACGCACATTGGCCTACTGCTCTTTCTAACAGATTTCTCCCCTTTCAACCCCTTCGATACCGCCGTATGTCTGCATGTTTTATAGTGTAGTAGAGAGAGTACCCTTTGCGGAGAATATTCATGGGGAATATGGTTTAATCAGCGCGCGAGTAGTACCGAACAAACGTCAAATCGGGTTGAGGTGCAGTCTAGAACAAAGGGATTCATAAGAGCGATAAATCAAAATCAACAGCCGATCGATAGTGGGTTGTAGATAACACACAAGGAAGGAGCTGTGATGAACCTATTTTATGGAAGTGATTAGATAAGTCGAAAATGCTTTACGAACGACGGGATTCACGTGATGTGCCTGACCAGGGGTTTCGATACCTGTAGTCTTCACGGTTATCAAAGTTTGAGTCACGGACTTACTATGACGTTATGTTGCTGGAGTTGTGGATCAGTCACAACAAAAATGGTACTCTGTCTGTGGGGTTAAACACCTGTCCTTTCTTCGTATAAGCCAGGGTTGAATGAGTTTATTGGTTGTGGCTTCTGTTCCGGTTCTGTGCTATTTGCCCTGGCCGGAATTTGTTGTGAGAACTTTCTATGGGTTGATGAGTTAGCTACAGTTTATAAGGTTGCGCCTCCTTAATCCTCACTGATAAATGACTCGAAATCAGTGCATTACCACTGGTCTTAGCTCTTAATGGCCCCTTTCCCTATGCCAATTTTTCCATTGTTAATGAATGCACTCGTACATGGTTTACAACTAAGTGTAATAATCTTAGCGTACTTTTAATCACAGGGCATGGAACAACAGATAAGCTGGATCCTAAGGACAGGAAAATGTATGCGAAATGTGGAGAGAAATCACAAATTTAGAAAGTCGAAACACTGTTGACAAGTTTTCCCCTTGCTTTGTTCTTCAATACGTGTCATCGTCCCGTAACTGTTGGAAAAAAAGACTGACAATCTCATCTGGGGTTTGTAATCTCTGGTCTCATAAGGCTGACATAGGTTCGGTCTTGATAACTGACCGGACGGCAGCGTGAGCTCTGCCTGACAGCGCACCGCTATTTATGCTCTAATAAGTACTTAACGTGAGAGTGCAGTTGTCAAGCATCTGAAATTTAAAGTGTGAGCATTATTCAAGCAAGATTACGTGGGTTCCATTGACTTGTGTAGCATTATTCTGCGCTTTGCAACCAGACTGCTGTCTGTATGGTTCTTTCGTCGATTTATTCTTCCCGGTACAACCCTAGAACGTATTGAAATCGACGTGTAACGTATCGTGTTTTTTCTCTTCCAGTAAAAACTCTAGCTTGGAGTGTGTCCCTTACTGTTTCAGAAAGCTTGTTTTGGTTGGGTTTCAATATGTTTGCAGTTCGGAACCCTTGATCCTGATATATTTGACACAACTTTCAACCCCTTTCAACTCCAGACAGCTCAGCGAATAAGACTTAAACCATTGATCGAGACGTCATTAGCTTAAATCCCGCTCTGGCCCTTTGATTACTTCAATCCAGGCTCAGGTAGTTTGGCAGTGCTTCGATCCTCATGCATCCTCCGCTTGCATGGAAGATGTGCACCGAAATGGCGTCACGGCTGGACGACATGATAACATGCGGTTTTCATCCGTCAGTTGCCGTTGTCCAACCGCTTTCCAGTGGCATTTCCAACTGCTCCGTACTTCGCTTATCAGGGCTTATAATATACAATCGCCTAGCACCCATAGGTAGATCGTCCACGTTGTCGCTGTTCACTTCCATGGTTTTTTATTCAGAAACTCTTTATGCTTGTCGGGAAAATTCAACTGAAGCTCAGCTTCATGACATTATTCAGGTGTTCTGTCAGCGTAGCTTTGACCAGCCCACTGCTAGCTAGGCGTCGAGAAACTACAGAACATGATTGAGCTTAGGTCTGAAGGAGGGCGTGGTGAGTGTTGACACAACTGCACGTAATGTGTGATCTTATTATCTTTGTAGTTCATCCAGGTCGAATGACCATTCAAGTTGTCGTCCACCCACTGTTTGAGATGTGTGTCATTGCACTATGATGCGGGACAGTTCGCATACACTTCCGCTTACTTCACTGTGAATTGTAGCAACCCAACCGAGATGATCTAATTTCGCTTCGTTTCGACGGATTTGTGCTGTAATAACCATAGATCCTTTAGACTGTAAGTACTTTAGTGTTTGCAGTATGTCCTTGCAGTTTTGGCAAGTAGGCTTGGTTACTAAGTTTATTTGCCAAAAGTAGGCTTCAGTGAAACACTTGTGGCACTGGTATGCCCCTTAAAAATGCGAATTGGCCTACAGCATCTGTGCCAACTTTGGGTCCGTTTAAATCATCAGTAAACCCAACCTTGAACTAAACCTCGTGTCGGAAAAGTCGTCATTGCAGAAAGAAGTATATGCACGTTATCGTGAATCAATGAAAGTCAGACGCGTTTGGCCTTTCTGACATCGTGTTTAGGGGCTAGATTTTTCATCGCCAGTCTTTCAAATTGCGCAAGAGAACATGGGACTCAGACTTCCTGAGTGGCTAGTATCCACTCACCAAGCTTACCGATGCCATTGACGATTAATCTGAACGCTGTTACCGCCAGAAATACAACCGTGGGACTTCACATTTTGTAGGGTTCTCTTTTCAGTAGGATCGTACAGGGTATAGTGCTTGACAGAGGAAGTTCTTGTATACTTTCAAGGTGAATGACATCACGTTAACTTAATGCATAGCATGTTATGTATTTAAATATGACAACTGAACTCTTTTTTCTCTGTTCACATGATGCATGCTAGATTAGGGAGTGTGCATATCCTGTATACTGGGCTACGGAGCAGTGGGCTGAAAAATTTGAAACCCTCTAAGTTGAACTTTTCCTCTGTGTGTTATGAGGTTGGCATTATGTTTTTTTTTAAAAGAGACTCGGATTTGTGGCCAGCACATCATTGTACACCCTAGCTCTAAAGGACAAGCTTTCCACCGGATATGATTCGGAATAGGAGCATATATAGTCGACAATGACCAACAGTACGAGTCCATAACACTCCACCGCTTTCCAGTTAAACTGCTTAGTTTAGGAGAGAATCCAAATATACTTGTTTCAAATGTGGATTTCCTGTCATATTCATAACTTTCGTACGGCAATAAAGAATATGAACTTCCTTTGTTGACCGAAGGAACGAAGAAGCATTGATTTAGGACCGATGTTCTTCAGCATCAGGCAACAGTATTTTTTACATTGCCTAAATTTTATTCCATTTTTCCTTATCAGCCAGTGTGTTCGTGCCTTTTGACGGCCCTTGTGTAATGTTGCCTTGGACGTTTTACGCGTTACTTGAAGTATGACTATACTTTGATCATTTACACTCGTTTGAGAGCCATAGCTTAATCGCTCGATCTATTATACCCTTGAGCGAGCACCGACCTAACTACTCGTGTTTTCACGTAATCTCTGAAGGATACATCAGATGCGCGAGAACAGTGATAAATGGCGCGACCGTGTACAGTCCGCTCTGGTTGTTGATCAAGACGCAATCACGAACATGGAGCAAAGATATCAATCCCTCGCTTCCAGCGCTCAAGAGTGGCGTAAGCGTGTGGCGGATAAAGATGTATCCAATTTCACTGTCACTGGACGAATGCAGCGGCGTGAGTATCCGTCATTGTCTTTTAATGAGGTTCACTATAATCTATCCGTTTGAATAGAATCTTCACTTTTGCACTTGATATTAAGTGTACTGTTTTTCCGTGGAGTAGATACCGCTTTGATTTTGTGGAAAAGTTCTTTGTTGGCTAAAAAGTGGCGGACTTCTTCAGAATTTTTCGACTCACATTTGTGCGCCTTCCATTAAAATTCTGTGCACTTGCATCGGTTTCCCTCTTAAAGTTCACTGGATACCCTTACTCCTTGAAGACCCCATGGCTCTCTCACTGTCAGTTACAGTTTAGTGTATAGTGCTCCTCCGAAGAGAAGCTTTCCCAAAAGGAGAAACTAAATTTCCATTTTTTCTTGGTGTTCTCTGTTCGGAACACCACCGATGTTCGTTCACAGACTATGCTCTGGATTTAAACATGATGAGCGTTTTTCGATCTCTTTTCGGAAACTTAACAGTCGTCGCTTCTAACGAGTAAGTCCTCTTTTCATGGCATGGCAGTTAGGCACCGAAAGAGTGCTACAGCTGAACGATACTCCTTCTGACAGACTGGTTTACGGAATAGATAGTCTACCCTAACAAGAACCACTGACGTCAGTGGCCCAAGTCACCCTACGTGGAGGATCCTCCTCTAATAAGATGTGGACAAGTTTGTTCAACCTTTCGATCGCTAGTTGATACACTTAATGTATTTACAGCTGATGATAGAATGCTATTCTGAATTTAGTGGTAGAATATGACTGTTCTGAGGCTTCACACTTTCCGCACACGAAGCTTTGATCATTTCAGCGCTTGATTCTTGATGCACATTACAACAGAACATTCCTCATGCGGAGCACAGCTCAGAAGGTGCAATCTATAAGATCGATGGGATGCTGTAATGGCGTTTCACATCCTTTGAACACGATGATTCTAGGAGTCTTCTGTACGTCAGGTCCAAAATAATCAAAATCCAAGTAGACAACTCTGCTTGTTGATAGGTATTAAGAAGTTGAATGTTCTGTTACATCAGAGCTGGAAAACTAAGAAAAATAGTGGCGTGGCGATTCCCGCATTAAAAAAAATTTGCTTGTTGATAGGTATTAAGAGGTTGAATGTTCTATGTTACATCAGAGCTGGAAAACCAAGAAAAATAGTGACATGGCGATTCCCGCATTAAAAAACATCTTTGAGCTGTCTTGGGGGTGACGACGAATGATTCACTTTAGATGCATATTCGCCATTCAGACCAAGGAGAGCACAAAAGTGGGGATGCAGCAAGCAGTCAGAACGTGGGTTAGATTGACAGTAATCTTTTAGCTATCATAATGATGAATGCGGAAATTGTAACCGTGAATTCGTGGACAAGAGACCATATTGGTTAGTTCAGACATTGTGTTACGCTCTAGAGTCGCAAACTTGGTTCTTTCCTTCGGTAACCCACCACTGCATGGTTCAGATATGAGGTTCTTTCTGCGGCCAGCTCTTGCTTAGACCATCGGAACTGTCCAAAATAGACTACTGTTATTGCCGAAGGGAAAGGGTTTCTACTACCGTTCCTAAGGGGCGTGTGACTGACGTCACTTGGACGCTATCGTATGGAAAATAATGTTGGTAGTGACAAACTTCTTTTACTTTAGATGTATGAGATTTTCGCTAGCCTTCAAAGAAAATTTCCGGCCACAGTTATGGTTTTAGGTGTGATTTCGCTGCTATCCTGTATCTGCTTCTTCCGATTACCTTTCTGGACGATGTCCTATCATTTTTCATAGAGGAAACTGTTGGTAGCTCAGGTAACGTAGATCGTCGTTGGTTCCGTAAAGGAAACTGTTAATAGCTCAGGTAACGTAGATCGTCGTTGGTTTTGTTCGCTGAGATGGGCAATTTTATTGCAAACGTTTCATCACCAATCGAGGTGACATCATCAGTGCGTTATTGGGGAGCATAGTGGTGCGTAGCGGTGGGTTAGTGGTTGTGCCATGGATCTATCATTTCGTCCGTCTGTTGTGCCATCTGATGTTGGATGAATTTTCAGTTTGTCCTTCTCAGTTTTCAGTTGACTCGACTTCGAATCTCTCCTGCTCACTAACATTCCTCCGTAATCCAGGACTCTTCCCCTGGAACTCCGATAGTGATGTTCTTTCTTCAAACCTGTCTTCCTGTGACAAACCTATACAGGAGACAGAAATCAACTAAGCTGCCGAACAGCAAACATATGAGGCGTACATTTGGGCTTTTTACGAGCCACGTTTGGTGTAGTGGTTGGGTTTGTGCAAAGCAATCGTGTGCTCATCAATAATCTTCAGTATTCTTTGGATAACTGGTTATTTTTTCACTTTTACATGGGTTTCATTTCTTCCTGCTTGTTCGAAACTTGGCTCAAATAAATCAGCTCAAATAAATCACGTTATATAGTCCTACATAGGTTACTAAAAACTGATTTCCATATACGCTAGAATGATTTTTTCGAATATGATTTTCTCGGAACACACTCTTTGACACACCTAAATGTCGATTACCAAATTATTTGCTAACCGGAAAATCACGTTCAACAAACCACGGTTCATGCAATGGTTTGACTTTCAACCACATGACCGCAAAGTTTCACATGGGTTGGGCGTCTAAGTGCACTTTCGAACAGTTCTATAGGAGTGCTATTTTGGGGCTTTTTATGTAACTAGACGTTTGCCCGCCTCTCCACGTGACCGACCATTCGTTCGTTTTTTAGTTTATTTTGCTAAATTAGAAATACTGCACTAGAATAGATTGGTCCAGACAGTATACTTTTTGAGTTTCCTTGTGTTCTCTCCATTCTTGATATTTGCTGTTATCTTAGTGGGAAGGAAAGTGCCGCAACGAAGTCTAACGTTTCATGTAGTAATGAGTGAGTCTTCAGTGTATGAGCTTGTCTTACGGACGAATTGCATGACCCCTCATTCAAGCTCAGATCATCTCATCCATTGTCACAATTTCTGGTGTTCTTCGGGTGTGTCTAACTTTCCATCTGACCAACGTCTGACTCCAACGTTACTTATGTGTGTACATTCTGCGTTAGTGAATTGGTTCATTTAGATATACTAAGGATTCGGGTGTGTAATGTTTTTTTGACAGTGTTCCGAGATTTTCCTGTGTAAAATATGCAACTAGACTGGAAAGGTCTGACATTGTGCAAAATGCTCACCGTAGATCTTTCCTCCCTCCTGCGATACCAACGTTGCGAGTTTTTGGATGACTAACTGGAAGAACCAAATGGGACCAGTGAAGAAGGAGAAACCTCTAGTGCAAATCAATTTCTCTACAATAAGCTGCATCTATTGAGTTTGCAAACCACTTAACCTTGATACTTCGACCGCATGCTAATTCCTAGGTGCACTGCTAGCTTGGCTACTCCCACTCAAGCTTACTTGCATGCGTATGTCTGCATTTCTGCCTTGCTTGTGAGTTCAAGTTCTCCATATCAGCCGCCTTTGGATTTTGAAAGGCTATGTAAGAAGAGATCAGTAATTCGAGTGGAATTCTGACACCCAGTGGACTTGTTTCACATCAAGCTTCACTTAAAAGCGTAAGGTTCGTTCATATTTATGTGCGTCATTCATTTGAGCAACAGATGTACAAAAACATTAAGGTTAAATCAAACCAATTTAATGAAAAATCGGTGCTTTATCTGAACTCATTGAGCTTGATGCTGGTCATCATCGTTATCGTCAAGGTCACGCTGACCCCATCCTAGAAAGCGAACAGCACCAACAGCGTCCAGGCTTATTTTTAACACTCAGGTGGTCCATTTACAGGGTGCTTGGAGTTTTGGTTCACTAGCATCCTTTACGGGAGTCAGGGCGAGATGGCCCAAGTGGTTAGAGCGCGAATTTACTGACCAGAAGATCCGTGGTTCGAATCCGACCTCCACCACTCGACTTCCCCTGTCTGGACTTGGGCAACCTGGCGGTATCCCAGCCCTCGTGCAAGCCTCGGGTGGCATGGCAACTAGGCACCGGAAGGGTGTTACAGCTGAACGCTTTGTTTCTTCTTTCTTTACGGGAGTCACTATCATTGAATATTCAGTGTGTGCAGTTTCTCTGATAGCTTCACTCGTCCTCAGGGCATTCTAGTATTTTGATGGTGCAGGTAAGTACAATGAGCGGGTATATTCAATCCTGTGGCCAGCCCCTTCAAATGGAAAGTGGGCTCGCAGCAGGAAACCGATGGGTCCTTCAACTGCTCCACTAGTGCTGGAATCCATTTGAGTGTTTTTTAACCTTTTATCGCTCTCGCCTTCAACTCGTATATGCTTACAAAAAACTCAATCGAAAAAGAATTGTTTATGTGACGAAATCATAGTTCGTAACATACGTTTCCAAAATGGAAGCGGGTTTTAGCAGAATTCGTCACCATTGTCGATGTGCGCAATCTCTTTCTGGACTTCTGATGGATACCTCACTTTCAAATACCATTTCTAGGGTATCCTGACTTGGTGCGTGTGATTTTTGGACGCCCCTTCCTTTTTCCATTCCCAGTGTTCAGTCGGCACTCACCTCGGTACATTCACTTTTTATTACGTGCGTTTTTTGGAAAGGTTCCAAGTTTCTGTAGGTTTCAGAGCCAGGAATTAGTTCCTGGGATTTCTTGTGCGTGAACAGGTAGACATTATTATTATATGGTAGGATAACTTGGGTTCACCAGATTTTTAACCCGCCATTTTGCAAGTTTGAAGTAGAACACTTGTGTACAGTACTAGGGACGTATGACGTCAACAGCTTTTTTCAAGACATTTAATCTGGATGCACTCCAGCGATACTGTCCGAATACCAGCACGGTGACAGTGTCAGTTCAAATTTTTGACGTCCTGTGATCGGGATGCTCAGACAAGTGCTAGCTACATGCTCCCTAGTTTGACTTTTCCTGTTGAATGGATTATTTTGTATACTACTTCATGTATCATTCGTTTTTCCATACTCTAGCAGATTTGGGCGTCCCTGTAGATTGCCCACAATTACTGTTCTTTGTGGACACTCCAAAGGGGAGTCTCCGTCCGTCCGTCCTTTACGGGATTTTTTTCTCGTTTACGCTGCCATCTCTTGCACTTACTGGCCTCTGAAAGAACGCTTCATATTACAGCTGGACCACAGCTAGCTGTATAGTGGTTCATGGGGCTGCTCTGTTTAATAGATGTTTTCATTGAGCTGGGAGTCGAATGAGAGAGAATGAGTCAATCACTTCGCAGCGATGAGTGTGAATAGGTGGCTAGAAAAGGCGGATGGCCGACTCCAAGTGCTCACTTTATACACAAGGACCCCACCGAATACACACTCTAAAAACACCGGTTTTACCGGAACCTCCCAAAACTGTTAGTTACTTCATGTTTATGATAAGCAGACCGTTTGTTCATCTGAGAAACCGCTTCGGCATTCGTCCTTACTCTTGCTGTGGACAGAAAACAGGACTCTGTCATTTGGATACCGTCCTGCAGGAGTCTGGTTTTGAGATACTCTGTAGCACACCTCAGTCTTGTGTGTGAGTTTTACGCAGCCACGTGATCAACGCGTTTTATGACGGTTTATTGTGCCACATCGCGCTTGTCCGTTCTCTGGTGTGTTATCGGGATCATACATATATCACGTGCCTTGTATAGTTGTCTGCGCAGTTGGTGGACATAACTACATCCGAAGTATCTCATTCATATTTATTGTGCCTCGGCTTTGTGGCTAAGTTTTCGTTGGTGGACTTTTACCACTGTAGACCATGAGATGCGTATCTGCTAAGTTTCCGGAAAGCGACACAGACTGGGATTGCATGTTAGGAACTCCGTCATGGCTATAGGATGAATTGATCAGATTAAACCAGTTAATATCTGATTTCGGAGGAACTGAAAGAGTGAGGACGCTGTGAGTCCCGAATTAGGTTCACAGGGAACATCTGCCAACATATAACTTGAAAGTCACTGTGTATTACGCAGCTTACTGCTTCCACCACTTACTGCTCCTTGTATGTACATCCTCCATCCCAATTTTCTCCCGTCTTCGTACGCCCTGGCTCATCACTCGCCCTAGAATTTATGTGCTCACATCGTTTGTGTTGACTTCCACGCCTCTCACATTTCAAAGTCTTACCAGGCTGTTTTTCTTTGCATATGACCACAGTTTCTCTGCAGATATGTAAATCGAACAGTTGTTCAGGTTCAAGTTTCAGTTAACCGATTTAGAGGAGTATGCACCGGAACAGTACATTTCCGGGGCACTAAACCTGTCGTCACATCTTTTTACTACCACTGAATACGAAAGCTGATCCGTTAGCTGACCAGCGGGAAAAGGCATTGTGTCTGAAACCGTGGGGCGTGGCATTTGTGAAGCACAGCACCCAAAACAACGGTTTCGGACGATTTACTTAGCAAAACTTTTAGGACAGGTCTCCGCAAACCACAGTAGCGTGGGCTGTTGAAAAACCAGCCTGTGAGTATGTTGTCATAAGATCAACGATTAGCTGATTGGTCGCGGGTCATCCGTATTCGTATACATAGCCTGAATCGATCCTGCCGTTCAGGGGCTGTGTGAGCGGAATTATGCAGTTCAGTAGTGTTCTGTCTGTCTTCCTCTTCACATCGCTTAAGGTTACCAGGCGATGGAAGCGTGACTTCTTCACCCTAGATTTCCCGCAGGATGAAGAAATACCTCCAGTTATATTGGGTTACATTTCATCAACAGCGAACATTCAGTTGTTTAAGAATAGTTATCACATACTATTGTACGAAGTCTCTCGTTCCTCGTCGCCTTTCCGAACTGCACTGAAAATCAGACCGTGTTTTCATGATCATGATCATCGTCATCCTCATCACGAAAGATAGCAACATCGGTGTTGACACTGATGCTTCAGTGCCGTGTTTTATTCGTTAGGGTGTTGTAATTTGCACCAATGGAGCATGGGCGGATTCCATGGAGCCTCTTGGGAGTTGGATGGAAGTGCTGTGTCCCTTTGATCTTGTTAGAATATGCACTTCTGTCCTTTGTACAATTAAGTTCAGGCTGTAAAGTAGCAGTAGCCTTAAGGAGGAAGTTAAAACAGCACCGTCAAAATAAAAGCTGGATTCTAAAGGTGGGTTCATCTGCCCCACCCACTGGGGCTGATTTGGGTTCTTGGTGTTTCGTTGAACTGGTGCAAGGGTTCAGCCAGCCCCTATAGAGTGAAAACCACTGGACGACGAGGTTATAGTGTTTGACACCCGCCTTCACTTTTTCAACTCAATGGGAACACTTCGGGTGTGGGAAGGCAGCGAACAAGACTTTCTTACCAGAGGCTAGCAGGTTTTTCGGTAGCATTTCAATGGCCTGCAAACGACTACTTTGTCCACTCCTCAAGACATCCATTCCCGGCTATGCAGTAGCATCTGGAATCTCCGATATCTTGAAAAACAATAATTAGGCTAGTTGGCATGTGTCCGTCTCTGTTGCAACGCACGCATTAGGAGTCGAGCGCTGTTCGTCTGGGGTGCAACATCTTTCGAACTACGTAAAACTACTTAGCAAACCAGTTCCACGACTGCAGTGCTGACCATTTCCAATATGTATAATGGACGTAAACGTATTTGCTGACGTTCAGCATAGAGTCAAACAATTCAATCTTCATCAAATATCCATAAATGTATTACTTCACCTCAAGCACACGGCTACATGATGGCAAAATATGTACTTTAGTGTACAGCAAAAAATACGACTCAGTAATTTTCATTTTCTTTGCGCATTTCGATTCTCTAGCCTGCAGCCTGCTTCTGTGACAAAGGCGCATTTCGATCCTCTAGCCTGCAGCCTGCTTCTGTGACAAACCAACCTGTATTTGCTTGTTTGTGTTCCTGTGCGTCTGCACCTGCACCTATCTGTGCTATCTTCGCTTCACTTGGTTTTTTCGAGAGATCCTACGTAGTCATATTGTGCTGCGACTCGATACCACCGATGCCTTATTTCACCAACGGCAATGACATGCTCCCATCTATCCCAGTTGTGGCCTGGTCCACGAAACCTATTTCACCCTTCATCCTGTTCACACCTTTGCCCATTTCCAAAGAGTAGCGGATCACATGATATTTTTGTGCCAAGGATCTGACAAGTGATATGAAAGGAACGTTCTTGCGGAAGGCACCGCTTCCAACTCTCTTCTCAGTTGCAGCACGTGGCATATCACTGACCAATGAAAGAAAGTACAACCCAACTTTGCCGGCTGAAATTCCACTTCCGATAAAGAGTACACACAGGTTACGACTAGGTCACGTGAAACCGGTTGTTTCTAATGACAATGTGAATCCATTACATGGTCTTCGGGTACGAATCTTTTGCGTGCCCATCTCCCACATACGGTAGGAAGCCTCTTCATCCAACACACCAGTAACTATTGCTAATCACTCCAATCCTATTTGATGGATAATGATACAGTCTTTCAGCGTTTCTCAGAATGTGAGGTTGAAGTTCCGCAACGCGCTTGCAAGCATAGTTGAGTTGAACTTACGTCCACTACATTGTCTGCATTCATATTGTGCCTGCTTCTGTTAACCCAACCCAACACGTACGTTATTCGGTCTCATAACCCATCTTATGACATCCGGAAACATTAACGTTTCCATCATGGAATGCCATCAGAACCCCCTATCACTGTACCAGAAAACAACTGAGCTGTCCGGCATTCTGTCTAACTAACTGCTATGTTATCATGTTCAACAATCCTAGGTTCGCCAAACCGGTCTCCAGAGCGAAACCCCACCCCACTCAGCCTTGAAGATGCCATAAATTTCCCCCACCGCCCACCAGCTGTGCCTATCGCACGCGCAATGTGTAAAGAAAACCGACCAAGTGAGTGATCGGGCTGATATGTTCGATTGCATGGTTTCTACTTGTTTGTCCGCGTCTTACACTACTTCCTCTGATTGGAGCTTCTATATACCGTTTCCTTCTTATGCGCAAGACAAGCATCAACATGATCTGATTGCGGTGCTCAGCTGGGCTGTGCTCCCACAGTTATGTTTTCTATTGATTGTTGTGTTCTTGCAGGATTTTACGGTCTACGGCAGTCTATCGGCAGTTCATCCCCTTACACGAGGCCCCCACGTGCAAGCTGTATGTTATATGGCCCGTTTATGTTTATCTTTGGGTTGTTGCTGCCGTGAGTGCTATTCATTCTGCCATAATCGTTGAAGTTGTCTTGTTCCTTCCTATTGTCACATAATAGCGATCCGCTACCGAATGACAAAATATCCCTCTTCTGTTAATTTGTAAAAAGCCTTCATGGTGGACCAGTTCATTTTCCGCTTTTATAGCCAGTTTGTTCCAGACGATACACTGCCGATGGGCGTGTATCACGAGGCATTGAACCGATACGCTTTATGATGAAGTCACTCTTGACGAGGCTACCATATTAGTTATTGCGCCAATTAGGAACTGATGGCTCAATTGCTCGGACAGAGAACCACTGTATAAGGTTATGTCGGATAAAATTTTACGTTCGGTTGACGTGAATTTTTTTATTTGCGCTTGGGTATTTGTGTTCATTCATTAGTTTTGCTCCACCTGTATGCAGTGTCAAACTAATCAGTAATATTTTATTTTCTGCGCTAGCTGCCAGAATATTCACCCCAGAAAACCACCGGACAGATGCTCATCCCGAAAAATCGCCTTCTACTGTCGCTCAAGCAGCAACCAAACAGGTGAGTTATCAGGCTTTCTAGAGTGTCCAACGATTGGAGTCCACCTAGTTGGTAGGGGAAGTGATTAAGGACCTAATCAGACGTGGTCACCAGGTCCCTTAGTTGGTAGGGGACCTAATCAGACGTGGTCACCAGGTCCCTACGACACTCACGGAAAATGGAATAGAAACTTTTTCGTAAAAAGTGTGATGTTTGTGCGCATGCCTGCACTTTCCGCGGTATTTTAGGTGGTTTTTGAAAATTCAACCTTTCGATTCAATGTGCTTAGACGAATATTCACTTCAACCGTTCGTTTTGCGTTTCAGACGGTTCCTGTGCCTGCCATGCACGATGATCTACTGACGGACTTCTTCTCCGCGGAGCCAATAACTGATGGCCTACAACCAGATCAGTTGGAATTCCCGGAGTGGAGTTTGCCTTCTGCCGATCGGTTCGGTGACAACTACCAGCGGTAGGCAGGAGTGTATAAATGATTTGAATGACAGTTGGCTTTTATCCAAAGTTCATTCCCCTCAAAAGAAGGCCAAGTTCTGAGCTACAGCTTGGGTCCTGCACTATTTTGGTATAGGACTTGTTTTTCATTCGCACGGTATCGCCGTTAAGAAGGTCGTTATTGTCGAGCTGCAGATTCGGGTAAAGGTGCACTGACACCCGAGGTCGTGTTAGGTAAATGTATCCCCATTTCCTGTGCAATGTGGGTTACAGTTATCTGCACAGATTTATGCCCGAAGCATCATAGTGTGACGTGATGCAGCTGTCAACTTGTATGCGTTTTACAGATGCAACAGTATTGTTTACCGATGCCTTGGGAAATAAAAATATAGCTGTGCGTTGAAGGCAGTTGCTGCTATCGGTAATGGTTGAATCCAAGAATAGTACTGGACTTTTATTCGGCTTGAGACATCAACTAAAGTCATCGTATGGCGAACTAACAGCCGTTTTCTTTTATCTCGTCTTCTGCTTTTGCTATTTATGTTATAGTGCGCAAGTCAGTCGGCAATTGTACTGTGATAAAAATGCGATGTGACAAATTCCAAAAATCTCTGCCTTATGTGTATATTACTCTTGTTGAAGATGAACGCAGGTGTCGAACGCACGATGTTGCATGTAACATAAAGTGGCTGGTGGGTTTGCTATTCGACCACTTTCTCCAGGATAACTTCTGGCGAAGTCGTCGGACTCTCTGCGAAGATTCGATGACAACCCGACCGTACACCAGTATTAAGGTCGTCTTAAGAATACAGTGGATGGTCAAACCAATTTCCACATATGCCACTTGAATATTTTTTCTTCATAATGATATACTTTGTAATAACACACCTCCATCAACTGGAACGTTTATGATCACGTACAAATGAGCAAAACTGAAGGGTATGCTCGTTCTTATACGCATTGCTTTTACCAACTTATTTTGTTGTCCCGGACCTTTTCATTATCTCTGACAGTATAACCGATGCCCGACGTGCAGTCCGTCCGGACCGTCGAAGACCTGCGAAAACCCCTAACCCACTCAAAATCCTGGCTCAGCGTACCGATCTTCGTACAGAGTATGAAGAAGTTCGCTGTTACAGCGCAATACCATCCCAAACGCATAAGCTGTTGGGTCCGGTCGATCCTTCTAGCCGGGTTGCTGCTGGTGAGTTTCTGAGACTCTCTCACTCCCCATTCCGTGCATTTTAACTTTCACCCACTAATAGAAGGTCCGGAATATCACCAACACTACAAGCCTTATGAACGGGCCAATGGAATTTCTGTCGCTCAGAGAATCTCTACCATGGCTTGAATATCGCTTTCGTTGTGAACAACGGAACCAAGGTCAGATTTCCGAAAGGTTTTATTACCATCCTACCAAGTCGTGAATCTTTGGCCTGGGTATAAAAATGATACTGGCCTAGTCGAGTTCCGTGTTCATTTATAGTGTATGCTCCTAACTTCTCCATTTAATGATTTGGGCATCTATAGTCTGGACAGAGTATCTCAAGCCGTCTTAGTTTTCGGTATATTTCGCCGTATAAAAGACAGTTGAGTAACAAATATTACAAACCCGTTTTTCTAACCGCTTTCAGATGCCGCCTTGCGGAAGACATTGCTCGCTGAGTCGGCCCTCACTGGATTAAGTAGTCTGGAAAACTTTTCGGAGGCGAAAAACAGTTTACGTCAAGTTACTAATGACCAGCCGTTACCGCTGTCTTCCTTCCAACGTAGCTTGCTGCCATTCAAACCAGTAATGCTGTTGCATATCAAGGGTGAGTAAATCCATAGTATAATCTCAGTGTACAGCGTTTATAAAGCCATGTTTATGAAACATGCCTGTTTCACCCCATATGCTTGTGTACGATTCGTTAATGCTGTTGATCTGTGGGAGACAAAAATTCAAAGTAGCATTTTACTGTTGCATATGTGCATGGAGGCTGCCCCGTGTTCTCCAATTTCAGCTCCTTAATATCACTTGACTACTTGTGGGTACTTGTTGAACCGGATAATATCTCATCCTCGTGCTTCCTCTTTAGATGGCAGCTAGGCTACAGATGGACCATCGTTTTCATATTTACTGATAATAAAACGTTTACTGGATAGAGGTAGAAATGTAATTCGATTTTTACGAAAATACAGTTTTCTATGTGGTACAAGCAGTTCGTGCACCAGACGGGACTTCATGTGTAACGTGGTCGGCTCATGTCGGAATGCCATCGGAGAAGATTATTGGCAATGTTTGTGTTTCGTTCGAGAGATGTGTAGCTTACTCCTAGTTTGACTTTGTAGGAGTCATCTGTTCCAACGGTACAAATGTTTCGAATCGATGAATGCCTTGATGGAGGAAAAACTATGCGGATAGACTGCACTTTGTCTGTCCGCATAAAAGTGCTTTCGACGTTGATCTGTCCCTAAGAGTTCAAGGTTCAACACAAGTGGCACGTGTACCTTTGATCTGCAATCAACGTTTGCATTTCACAACCGCGTCGACCGAACTGATGGACAATGTGAAGATTCAACGCAGACTAGACTAGTTATTTTCTGACGATTAGACCTACCAACATCATGGAATTTCACTGGTCCCTGCCAGGAGTTGGATTTTTCATCTAGCCTTTGGTCACCGTACGTAATATTCAGTGTGCGTTGCGTACGGAAGACTATCCACTTCTTAGACTGACAAGTTGGTGAGTTGGCCCTTATTTAGTTCTCTCTCCGTCGCGACAAGGAGCTACATAAACTTGGAGATATCCGTACGTCCTTGAAGACTACAGGTCAGAGAGTTAATCTGAACGGGATATGAGTGCAGGCTATCGAGACTTGGTGACCTCAAGTATAGCATGTATGGCCCGCACAAGCACGCAAAGATGTTTCTTCACTGGGTACCTTTTCCGAAACTGTTGATACCTACAAGAGCTTCAGATAGGGAGAACGTATCGATTTCGTCTTTTTTAATAGGAACTTTGACCAAATGCGCTTCAGAAAGCGATCGGTGGTACCCCCAAGCTTAAAGAAACCAGCCGATTCTGACTGTAGCCAAATATCGCTTGGAAAGTGACATATTCTTGAAGAAATCGTACATCGAGTTCATGGTTGACTTACCAACTACTTCGGTTTTGTATACATTTTATATGCGTTGCTACTGAAGAACGTTAGCTGAATCACAGTCCCATTCTATGGGGAATGATGTTCAAACATCCGACGCCGTGCAGCTGCATGGATATCCACAGCTCGGAGAATAAAATAAATAACAGTCACCAGGACGTCGCAAACTGTCGTGTTGCATGATGCAAGTGGGTTCCAGTGATAGCGCTCCTCCTGCTATCTGAGAAGAAAATTGTATGTCAGGTAAAACGATTTATTAGTAAGCAGAGGACAATCCTAGACTGGGCATGGTGATTTTGTAAACAGTGATTTATTCAGTGTTTTTAGCGCCGCTTTTCGTCATATACAGCCGTGCATTTTCTTGGGTCCCCGAGGCAGATAATTTTTTAATGAAACCACATGAGACCCGTGGTATCATTGCTACAATCTCTCAGATGTTATTTGGCGCTTTTCGGTGGCGGATCATCTGATCAGCTTTCAAACTGATCAATCGTCAGATTATCACATTAAAGACCGATGGTGAGCAATTACCCTAGTTTCGACTTCCAATCAAGCTATGGCTCCCTTGTTCATGAATATATATCTCAGACTTTGCCAGATTGGTTTGTATTGCTTAACATTAATTGGTTCAGTTTTGCGTCAGAGATAGGCGGACCGGTTTAATGCTGTTCACTGTTGGAACAGGGTATTGGTGAATTACTTAGCTGACGAATGCTTACCACTCAAAAGTCAATCTCTCCCCTGTTAACCGGCGTGTGACAACAACAGTAATTTACAGATGCGCACAGTATTCCAACACAATACACACGAAACCACTCTCCTTGTTAATTATCAGTATACATCCTAATCAACGTCGTCTCGTTTCATTTTGACCTCCGTCAAGTTTACGGCCATTGCTTGTCGTGGAACTTAGGTGATCACGGTTTCAAAATGAAAGATTCCTTGTCAATTTCGGCCCAATACTAAATGTGGTCGATTTTTCCTGTTTTCCCGTACTTACACAAACTTCCTGGTTTCTAACTGTTTTTAGGACACGGTTTCATGACGCTGATGTTCACATTTTTACACTGTCGGCTGTCATATTCAGGTTATGCATAATCACGGTTGCTGATGTAAGCGTAGAATTTCTCAGCTGACTACGATTTGGCATTTTTGTTTGTTCACGTGACTATGAACACCTTGTGCATCCAGCAGTATTGGACCGGTTTTCATTGGTATTTCCGCAGGTCGTCGACAAGTTCAGGTTCGGCTTGTATGTCCCAGTGCAAAGTCCATGAATTCTGGTGACTGCTTCATTCTGGTCACTTCGGATGCGGTGTTTGCCTGGTTCGGTGCGTTCGCCAATGTTGTCGAGGTCAACAAAACTCGCGAACTGGCCGGTTGGATTCACAAGTCCCACGAATTGGGTTATCGTGCCTCGGAATCCAGTAGTCCAGATTTCATCACAGTTCAAGAAGATTTAGCAGAACATGTGGCGAAAAACAGCGAATCTGTTCACAAATTTTGGAGAGCTTTGGGGTATGATGAACCACAAACGGTTCAAGGTAAGTCTTGTTGACTCAAAATTTCACCTGGTTACGTTGTAACTAACATTGATTAAGCACTCTTCCTTTATTTCAACACATGAGGAAATTGTATTTCATGGTTTGCGGTGGTCAAGAGAATACTATTCAAGAAATTCGTGTGTATTAGCCATATCGTGGGTTCTTCTGGGCTTGTGCCTATTTGTTGGTCGCATAGACCCTGTCTAGGCTTGGGCAACCTGACAGTATCTCAGCCCTCGTGCCTCCTTCGTGTGGCATGGCATCTAGGCACCGAAAGGGTGCTACAGCTGAATGATTGGTCGCATAGAGCAGTAGTAAGAATCTACGAAAATTACGATTGAGCCCCGTGTAACTGGGTTGTGTCGGTCACTGTGTGTTGCCAACAGGTCAAAAGACAGAGCAGTTCTCGAATATCCGCGATTAACGCTTCTGATGGTGATTCCTCTCCTCTAATCCAGAACCCAGTTAAATGCATTCCGATTCACCATCCAACTTTCGTTGGATTTTTTCACGCACGGTTTTTAATAAAGGTTTTAACGTGAGTAGTATGTGGTTTCGTACGTCCAACTCGGCAGAAATGTGCTGGATAAGCTGCCCCTTTCCAGTCTGCTGATGTCAATTTACCTATGCGCCAATGTATTCTTGCACTGTTGTGACCAAGTGATCATGGTTCGGCTTTTTTGGATCCAAGCACGAAGTCAATCTGGCTAACCTTGTTGTACAAAGTGGAGGCCAAATCAGAAAATATGGGAGTAAAAAACCCAGGAGACCTAGCGTGTACCCTAAGGGGAGTTCTTTCGATCATCATGCGCGTAATTGGACGTCTGATTTCCAAAGCTCTTCATATGCCCTACCCGGTTACAGTAGGCGTCTTAGCAACTGGAGGATGTCAATGTCTGGCTCCAGGCTCCCCATTCGCACAGATAGTCGTCGATCGTTAATCAATTAGAAAGATGCCACGTATGTAGATCCGTTGCTGGTGTGACATGGAGAAATGTCCTCAAGAGCCTAGTGGAGAGAATCCTTTGGCTAAACTGGGGAGATCAATCGTCTCTTTCCAACTTTGGATCGTTCATGAGGCAGGTGCATGTGATTCTCATTTCAAGATGATTCTTGGATGTGTGCCTAACTACATAGTAATAATCCTGTTTATCCTTCTGTTCACGACACCAAGTTCGTTGGTTGAAGCAGTTTAACATATGGAATGCACCTGAAGGCAATCATAATAATAATGATAATACTAATAATCGTTCGGCCGTAACTATTCCAGTGCTTAGCTACCACGCAACCAAAAAAAAGCATGTAGTCTGCGATACTACAGTGTGCCGAAACCCGAAAAGGAGCAATCGATAGGTCGGGGTTGTGTTCGAACTGCGGAGCTTTTGGTCAGTAAGTTCGCTTTCTAACTAATGAGCTGTCTCGAACTCAATATCTGAAACTCGTTACATCTAGAGCACAACTCATATAATAGCCTCCAAAATGAATACGCTTAGGTGATAAATGTTTATCTGCGTCCGTGGTAGGTAAATCAGCGTCTTTTGCAGTTCCTGTTAACTACATATTCTGATTATGTCTTACTTAGTTATTCATCTGATTGGTAGAACTAGAGAAAAATTGCTGTCCTCATCCACCATGAAGGAGTGGCCAATCTTCGGATTTCATTCTATCAGCAGTCATAGAAACATTTATACACTTCATCATAGTTGTGGTCAGAAAAACTAACATTCCTTATCTTCATCTCGACCTTATGCGGCCACTTTCTCCTCAACTTCAAAAACACCTGGTAGAAAGCTTAGATTGTGGTGATCTTATCTACAGTTTGGTCATAGTGTGCTGACCACTCACATTCACCTATCTTGGATCACAGGCGGTTTGAATTTTTTGCACACACGTCTTCCCTAGCTTGATAGCTACGTAGTCTAGTTCACTACAGTGAGCCATTTACAGCGCACATGTTTTTACAAGCCGTGGGTCATCATTCTCCGTACCTCACTGTCCTCGTTCCACTTGTTTTACAGTGTGCGGTCGTTATGTTAAACACCTGTTACCATCTGCCTTGCTATTTTTTTCCTCAGTTTAGCAGACTGGTACAACACTCAGTTGGGGATATCTTCATTCTACTGATTGGCCAGATTTTGTACATGCTTTGTCTTCCATCTTTTACTGCATTTATCTAGAGTGCTCCAGACTTGCATGCGACCCTGTGACCGAATTCTCCTCATAACTTAAAAATCTTCGTTTTTATGTAGTCTTGTCAACATTCCGTATCAGAATTGAACGGTAACATTCACTAGCACGCGGCGTATTTCTTCATTGTAATTTTATTGTCAGCTAGATACAGCGTTGACGTTAAAATTAGGTGATAAGAATTCCCCTCACATCCTTACACCTAACTCTGCTGATCGCAATGAACTGTTGGACGGGAGAAAGTGGCTGCTAAAATATCCGGTCGAATTCAATATTACGATTTGTTGACTGTCCGGTCCTCTGTGACGATCAATGGCCGACAGGGTGACTGGATATGTCAGCATCTGATTAGAACTAATTTCCACACTTCCTCGGAATCCGGTAACACTGGGAAGTTCGGAGATGCGATTTGGTTTCTTCTCCTGTACTTCCACTTCCTCGTATTTTCGTCAGATCACTTATTTATTGGAGAATTGAGCGAGACTCGAGTTGAGATACTGCATTCGTCAAAAAGAAGTTAGCTTTTCGTGGCCAGTTGTTCTGTTCTGTTGTAGATGAAGTCTTTAAACAGCTTAACGGGATTCGGTCATGTTCCTTAAAAGAAAGTTTATGAGCAAATCGGAATCCAACACATGAGGGTGTGGGATAAACCCGTTCTCAGATGGTCGGAATCAAGCAATCGATCTCTCATCACTAGTACCATGAACAGATCATTTGGCTTTTGAGCATCTGAGTTATAAAAATAGCAACTGTGGTAGTAGTGTTCTATAAGACCACTTACTTGTAATCTTCTAGCTGTTGCAGGTCGAACGAAAGTGCACTTGTACATGGTTTTTGTCTCAATAGCTGAACCGATCTCTTAGCTTCCGAAGAACGTGGGTTTCCACGTTGTTTTCGGTGATAAGTCACCTGTCATCATCCCTTTATGTCATATTTGCTCTTCCCCTCTATTATCTAGCTTGTGGTGCTTCAGATGAGGACGAGTTGTACGAAATACTCATCCAACATACCAACCGAGTGTTCCAAGTCACCACCGAACAACTGGTCCCATGCATGGAACACTGGGGAAGACCATTGAAACACGCTCTTTTGAAAACTGATCAAGTAAGTGCATGGAGCGATTTTTTATTGTGGCTGCCTGCTAGAAATTTCTGAGTAAAGTAGGATGTAAGGTTGACGGAAACTCGAAGACCGCGCCTACCTGATGAGCTCCAAGAAGGACGAAACTGGTCGTGGGCTGTCGAAGAGTTTTCAGCAACCCTGTCAGTAGTTTCTCTTATGAAAAAATGATGTTTTGTTTGTCACAGGCGTTTGTTTTTGACTTCGGCTCTGAAATTTACCTGTGGACTGGAACGCAAATATCTGCGGAGCTTCGACTAGCTGGCATCGAGCTCGTCCATCAGATCTACTCAGCTGCTTATGACTATGGTCACTGTCGACTTAATCCATTGGATCCACTTTGCAGTGAGTTTCGTTCGCTTGTTCATTGTTTTCGTCCTGTGTGCCCGTTCGGTTTGTCTTGTTTATGGTAGCTTAGCCGCGCGCATTCAGGTATTCAGGCTCGCGTGCACTGCATCTGGTTACAAGCGTACGCATTCTGTGTATCAATCACCATTCTGCACAGCATGTACACAGAATTACGACACCGAGAGGCCTTTGTTTTTCACCTAAAAACCTGCACGTGTCTTTAGCTTGTGTTCACACAAATAACCAGGTTCACTCAATCTCCTTCAAATTTTATGAGTGCTAGCTTCGCTCAACAATCGGTGATCTGCCAAAGACTTTCAGTGTGGGTAAAGCTCATGACGCAATTGATGCCGAACTGTGATACAAACTCAACTAGCCGAAAGGTGTTTTCGGAACTTGGTTGGAATGCTAACAGTTTAAGTTTGAAAAACCATAGTTGAATTTGGCGGTGCATAGAATTCCACTTGTGACGTGGAGGTTGCTGGAAGTAATATGAACAAGTTTTGGATAGACAGAAATTACCCTTCGAAGTCTTTTACTTATGTCAGCCAGGACTTCGTAATTTTATTCGGACGAAGTTTGCTTTGGGGGATTACCCAAAGCCGCTCTATCCAGTGAAATGTTAACGTTTGCCCGCAGCAAACTGCGTCAAGCGCCTCCTATGGCTCTCTCTTCAACAGCCAGTCGGCATTATGCCTATGCCAGAGGAGCGTGTTTGGTTGTGGATGAATGGTTTTATCTACATCCTGGCATGCAATGCACCTAAAAAGTCCCCTCATAGATTTACGGATACAAGATAAATCTTCCTACTCAACACATGTAGCCCACGACGCACAGGTAAAGTGCACAGTTGTGTAGAGTACCATGCATAATCACCCACTGGTAATATACATCTGGTCACTTGTACGCCGTAATCCTTAGGAATCGGCAGTTGTGGTGCAACCTATCCAGTGCGTTTCATCTCAAATTTTTCCACAAGTGTAATTTTCTTCCAAGATTATTACGCTAAAGAAAACAAGAGGAGGCAGGGCAACGAAATTTGTTCAACTACAATAGCAAACCGAAGATACTCATAATTTTGAGTTGATTTCAACCCGCTGCTGTTGTGTGTATTCTTACGCTTTCCAACGGTTGGTACTGTCCAGTGCTTCGCCCCTCTTTAGGCTCCCAACTCTCGTACCCTCACTCTTTAGTGTCCTCTGATGAGTGAATTTAGTCTTCTGAAGTTAACTCCTTTTTGGACAGATCGATCGACGATTAGCACTGCTGGCTCCGCCATGTGGACACAGCATTTTTGATTGGGTCCTAATGGTCCCTACATTTTTCCTTCTGGATGTTATTGGTTGCGCAAAGATTTCTCGTTGACTGCTTCTTGACGGTGGTCTTAGCGGATATGTCATCAAGCGAACTGCTCCAATAAAGGGAGTTTCAACTTTTTTCTTACATATGACTTTTGTACAGGCGGCAGGGATCAAAAGGAATAAAATGTTGCGATTTTACCTTCACGCAAGCAGAAAAAGCAATGGACTCGATCTTTAGGCTCCTCGACCAGAAGCCCGTGTTACCATCTGTTTGCATTATTCGGCTAAGTGTTAAGCGGGATTCCGGAACATTCTTGTCGATCCTGGTTTTTCATCAAATCTTACTTTTCAGTTGGATACCATCTCAGATCCAATTTTCAGCAGCCCACCCGCTAACATTTTTGATTCGTCTACCGCTTCTGCAGTGTCGGTTGTTTGTTGGTATGGGCACTGCAACCTGGCCAATTTGATTTTACTAAACGTACACTCACTTCTAGTCTCATTATAGGACAGATCAATTGTGTGACTTTTTTAAATGAAGGGAATGTGAATCTATTGATCATCCGTTTAAAGAAAATAATTCGACATAGGAGTCTTGTTCGTGGTCACTCATTTTCAGTCAGTGAAGTTGGGTTTCGAAACGATGTGTCCGCTTCTACACAACAGTGCGTGAAGTCGTGATTAAACACACAAATCCGTGTAATTCAGGCCATGTGTTCCGCAGTGTCTTGTTTCTTCGGCACACCTCCTTCTCACCAAAGTATAAATTTTACCTCAAACACTAGAGGATGTTGGCCTTTGCCAGTGACCCACTGCCACGCTCTAGTCCTCACCTCAACGACGCGCTGGTGATGTCACCTCAGCTAACAAACCGGTGACCATCTACGCCTTATGTGTTAGGAACGTTATCCTCTCTTATTCTACCGTTTCCGCTGCCTTGTCTCTATGTGTAAAATTCTAAAGAGTTCGTCGAATCAGTCGTTTTGACTTGTCAGCTAATTAGGGAACATTTGTCAAGTGCCCAGTGTAATGACTTCACCATAGGAACAAATCGGATCGAATGTACCGTGGTGGCAACTTCTTTCCCATATGGCGATCAGTGAGTTATGAGTTCATGTTGTCATGACAACTCCAGTATTGTTCATCTGCGTAATGGCTATTGCGATCGCCTTTCCTTCCGCGAGGCGTGGAGGTTGTCAAGGCTTCCGCTCTTTGTTCTCTATGAATTTGCAGCGGGGAAGCTGACACGTTTGCTCATCACTTTAGGTTGCCTTGAGGTTCTTGTATGTATTCAGTATGAATGGTCAAAATCTTCTCGGGTCTGAATTCCGGTTTAAGATTTTAATAATTGTGTAAAACAGTCAAATGAGTGCGTTGGATTCTTCTGGAGTGGATATACTCCTAATACGCCATTTTGAAATGAATGAAAGTGGAGACTTAGTACAAACGAGTGCTCTGTGACCCAATCTAAGTGTTATGTTATTAAAAGACACCTTCGCTCAAAGATATCGTCGACAGCAATGCCTCATACGACTCATGCAGGCGTAAATCGATCAGCGATATTTGGCTCTCTACTTGGAAGTATCGCGGGGACCTAAGTGGGTCTGCACTTTGCAAATTGCATATCGAAACAAAAAACTACTAGCAACATTCCGTTTAGAGTGAGTTTAAAAAAACTCAGATGTTGTGGTTGTCGACTGTGTGAATGAACAGATGTAGCTTACCCGACACTCAATTGGATGGTTCATTAGAATTGGGTGCTATACGTTCGGACAACGGTGAACGACTGCTTCAGGTATGTGCAGACCACGGACTGTTTTTGCGTAGTGAGCGAAATTATCTGGTTAGATGGTGCCCTACAATATCGTGCCAGTCGCGCACCCAAATTTATCACGTCAATAAGTTAGCGATGACGTAGATACATAAGCAGCTGTCGCCTCTTTTGGAGTAATTGACCATGCACTCATCAAGGTCACTTCTCTCCTCGCTTTTCGGGGCCGTGCAAGGGGCACACACCTGGGCTAGCACCTGAGACGTTAGCGTATCCGAATTAGAGAAAAGCTTATCAGATCCACTTTCTGGGTTATTTTCCAACTGCTCTATCGTCGGTTGTCAACTCGGACTGATTGGAGGCCGTCACACATTTGCACAGTGATCGACGGGGCAAGGAGACAAATTCTAGATCATCAAAATCTCGGTATCCAGATAAGTGTGAACAAAAACCTTGTTGATCTAGAATACGCAGACCACATCGTTCTCTCATCGGCTGAGGAAAAGAAGTTTCCCGTTTTTCCTGATTAATCGACTAAATTAACTCTGTCCTTGACATGCGCTCTGCATCCACAAAGTGCAAGGTTATGTTTCTGGACGTGCAGTCATTGAACACATCACTTACACTTCAAGGATATTCGTCGTCTTATGGTGGCGAAACTCTGACACGTGAGCATCAAGCGGGATTCCGAGCCGGTGTAGGCTGTGTTGATAACATCTTCACACTCCATCACAGTGAGCAACGACCAATAATGTTGATATCTCTTGACTTCAAGAATGCGTTCGATCGATCGATCAGTGCTGTTAACTACACTTACTCAACATGATATACCCCGGAAGTTTGTGAATATAATTCGATCCTTATATTCACATGCTTCTGGGTGTGTTAGAGTGAATGGTGGCCTCTCTAAAATCTTACATGGGAAAATTGGTGTCGCACAAGGATGTCCACTCTTTCCATTCTCATTCAACTTCGTGACTGATGAAATAATGAGGCGGATGCCCGAAGGTCTTTGAAACCCAGGGGTTCAAGTTGTTCCTGGTGAGACCCTTGTTCAACTGGAGTACGCAGATGACTCCGTCTTCATCGTTGAAAACAAAGGCTAAGCACAAGCCCTGCTGAATAAACTGACCACTATCATACCATATTTTGGCACACTCCGTGCACCTTCAAAGTGCACAGTCATGCTTCAGGACGCACAATCTCTGAACATAGCCCTTGCATTTCAGGGAGAATCATTGGAGGTTGTGGCGAGCTTTACATACCTCCGTAGTTGCATTAGCTCTGACGGAAATGTGTCTGTTGACGTCAGTTTAAGAATATTAAAGTACCGAATCACGTTTTTTGATTAGCGTCATTTGTGGCGTCAAAATTCATGTCCTCGTGTCTCAAGGGTCGTGTATACGAGGCTATAGTAAGGATTGTGCTGTTTTATGGCTGCGAGACGTAGCCCCTGCGGACGTATGATGTGAGGCGTCCTTAGGTTTGAACCACAGATGCCTCAGAAGCGTGGCTGGTGTCGGATGGCGTCAACGAGTTCGTAACGAGGTCATACAGCGGGTGCTTCGATCGCGGAAAACAGTTGCCACCGTCAAGTGCTGTGGCTCAGCCATGCGCTATGCATGCCGAAACTTGTGTTGTTTTCCTTATCTCCTTCAGAATAGCGGAAACTGTTAGTTGGACAACCTATGACTTGGCAGAAGGGCGTGAAAGAGATTATGAAGAGTTTGGGTGTTTTCGGTATTGTACGTCTTCCAGGATGGGGTCCCCGTGAACCTTCTTGCGCTTGGCTGGAGACGTTACAAGTGATAGCGGCTAGTCGATGTCATTGGCGTTCGTGCTGCCAGTTCCTTTTCAAATTGTCTGATTGAACGCTTGGAGGTGTGGGCACCTCAGAATGCTTAACATAAGCCAGCACCAGGTCCCTCACCCACTCGTTTTGCCTTCTTTTCAGTCGAAGACCTTAGACATAATTAGACAAACTTTGTGGTTGTACGGCATCAGTGTCAGTACTGATGTTTTTGTCTCCGATGATGATGATGACAGTTCAAGGAGAGGCATTCGAGGTATTTTGATAGTTGTGTAACTCCTGACTGTAGTTTGGCAGGTGAGGTCAGTGTACGAATCTCTAAGACTCCGATCGCCTTTGTTAATTCGAGATACCTATGACAGCAATGCTGCGTATCCCCCGATCTCAAGAGACGCGTATATCAGTCATTATTACACTGTCTTTTTCTATGGTTTCGAGACGTCGTATGCACGAACAGCGTGACTAGAACGTCTGCGGGTTTCCGATTGACGCTGTCCCAGAATACTAGCTCATTTAGGCGTTTGCTAGTCAATCCGTAAGCGGTTCGGTCATTCCTTCAACGACTTCACTCGAAGAATGTGTCCAGCAATCTGTTGCGCATGCCGATTTATCGTTTACTGAAAGGAGTGCTGCCCATTCCTGAATGGCACGAGTTAAGAGGTGGTCAGCCTTTGATTTGACAGAACATATTGAGAGTAACTACGATAAGTCTGGGTATTGTCGGCGTGAATCGCCTTCCAAGATGGAGTCGGTCATCTTTCCTACGCATAGTTGGAGACGCTGCAGGATATGGTTGCTAGCTAGTGTAGATGGTGTTCTTGTCACTTTCTACCCAGATTTGTATGTTTCGGTGGGTTGCACCACCGTAAAAATCAGTTTGTGTGACGGTGTTTGATGACAACTACTCGATAACCATCCAGCACTTAAAGCCCCTGAGTAGGATGTTGAGGCTTCAAGTGGGAGTCCATATGTGGAATTTTTATCTCCATATGGTCAACTAGCATGTGACAGAAGAATTAAAAGCATCATATATACTTGAGGACTTCTACAGTTTTCTAGTGCCGTACGGGTGTTTATAGACTTTGCTCCATCTTACGAGTTGTTAGGAGGACTGCCTCGAAACGAACAAACCCTGTTTGCCAACGATTTGTATACTGAAAGCTTGATTTTACATTTCAGCCTCTCACTATTGGACTGTTAATTCGTTTTATATTCTGGCTCAGTTGAAATCCATATCACAGAACTATCCACTTGTTTGCGGTATAACTTCCTCGAACTTGTTTGTTTTCCTCGTTCCAGTACACTAACTAGTCTGGCTGATACATTATCAAAGAGTATATAACGGGATTGTAACTCGGTGGACTGATCGACGAAACGGTTTCAAAGACTCGATGGTGTAGGTTTTACTGGATACAATAGTAGTCAAAATAGTATTCAACGTCGAAAATTCTGACGATTGGCGCTGCCTTGCGTCGTGTGTTGTGTGTGTGTGGTGTTCCGAACAAGCTAGCTCACGTTTTCTCGCGCGTGTTCTCAATCGGAGTTGGTCGGGTTTCGTGGTACGTAGACTACTCAAAATCTCATTCTGATAGATTGATTAGGTTTCAGCATGCCGTTTTACCAGGTGACGCGCTTTCTGCGAAGTAGCTTACTATTGAGTTATCCGCACGCTAGTCTTTCTACCGCAGTTCACTTTTGTCATTCAGTAAGTCACGTGAACCGTCACTGTACTACGTTTGCATTTTGGACTTTTGTTTCACAGTCCCGCATTCTTCGCTTTCATTTTGTTAAGCACATGGAAACATTCCTTTGAAGGCCGAGAGCAGACCGGATTGGACGTTGATAGGACGAGTGACTGAGAAAGGAGAAACTGTCCTGTTCAAGGAGAAATTCATCGATTGGCCCGAGGCCACTCGACTTGGCTTACGACTAAAGCCCGTTAGTAAATCGTCAGCTACCACTGTGAGTCCACTGATCTCTCTCATGTCTAAAAAAATCGTCTATTTTACGTCTTTGTTCCTGAAACTACAAGTATGGGATCACTGGGCGGGGTTCCGGCGGCTAGTTTAAAGGGGTCATTTGGAAATCCAATTCTGTTAAAGAAGGCAGTAACGCCCGATCTCTTTCTCCCGATCAACCAAACTTTTCTGAATTTGGTTACGTATATCCTGTTATTTATGTTATTTAGCTGCTGACGCACTTTGTCGGTTTTTCTTTGGTTTCTGTAAATGCAGCCCTTTGAACTACAAATCACCGACTTGTGTGATGGGTTCTCACGAGAGTCTGTTGATTAGTTAGTGTAAGTTGGTGCACATAATCTGATGTGTATCGCGACCGCAATGATTGCCGCGCCTTAATCACCGAATAGTTCCTGCTAATTGGTGAGATAACCTCTCCACCCCTTATTTGTGTGTGTGCACAGTCCCAATTCAGAAGAATCGTACACAGTGCTCCCCTCTGTCCTCTTCACTGTACTGGGTGTCAGTCTCACTAGGTTACTGACAAAGTCGTCGGTTTCGTCCAGTTTCCATGTGTTCGCTTAACATCCGCATTCATAATGACTGACAGCTGTGAGGCAGCACACCGACTGTACTGAATCGGCTCTTCATCCGGAAGGCTGCAAGCTGACAGCCGATAGTTGGATGAATTTGTTTCAGGTGTGTTCTTCTCTTAGGTGCACTGCATAGTTTAAACAAAACGTAACTCGCACAATCAGCCGGGATAAAACGGTCCGAACTCTTAAATGAAATCAGAATGCGAGGGAACCTATTTGTTACTTGTTCATACGTCAGGAGGGAAATATGTCCGATGAGATTGACTTGCTTCGAATGTATCTCCGAAGGCGATAGCACATGACCGCATCACCGAAGCGAGTATCACCGTTTCATTCGACCTGCAGTCATTTTTTGTTTGGTGATTCGAGCCTTTTTCTGTTTCTAGCCTGGAGCCTCTATTTACTCAGCTATTCAACCATACTCTGCAGAAGAACTATGCCATGCGGCTTTCAAGGAGCCCCCACCTTCTCCTCTGTTACTCACTTTGGAGGGTCGCTTTGTTGGTCGGGGAGGCGAAGGCTGTCGATATGAAGATGGTATTGTGCGCCGATTCCGTGTAGAATCAGGTTTGGTGCGTGTTTGGCACGTGTCCGAATTCAACCGGGTTGAGCTAAGCGAAATTAGCCATGGACAGTTTCACCAAGGCGACACTTATGTAGTCCGATGGCCTTTCAAAGTTATCCACGGTATGTATATACTCTTGGTCGTCTACTGATAGCTACTATATATAATTTTCGTCTCTCACCTTACAACGACAGATGACAAGGTTAAACCGTTTGACCACTAATCCAGCCATTTCACTCCATTAGGGTCCAAAAACGTAGGTCTAACGAAGTCCGCTTCTTTATTTGAAGAATGGAAGTGGTGGCGCACAATGGCTGTTGCGAGATTGCGTTTTCAGTACTCTGATATAAGCTTGTTTGAAGTTTCTTTTGAAAAATTGCGGAAACTTAACCGTTTTTTCACTGCAGTGGCTTTCAGTATAGGCCATAACCTTGCTGTCATTTGCTACCATCTCATCTTTCATCCCTCTCCAGTCGGCCTGCGAGACATCCCATTACGTTCCGCGGACAGTTCTCGTGAACAGTGTGCCTACTTTTTCTGGCAGGGGTCGCACAGCAAAGTCACTGAACAGGGTGCTGCTGCGCTCATGACCATGGAATTAGACGCAGAACGGGGTCCTCAGGTTCGTCCGTTTCTGTGGTCGGTTTATTTACATCGTTCTTATCCTCCTGATGTGAAAGATTTTCGTGGAATTTTTAGGTGATGATTATTATAACAACCAGTTTGGACGACACCTTTTGAGTGTTCCGTAAATGACCAGAAATGCACACTGAGTTCATGAGCTTATTGAATATGCTCTTTTTTCAGGTCCGCATACCTGAAGGGAAGGAGCCTCCAGCGTTCTGCCGTCTTTTCGATGGCCGAATGGTAATCTACTCAGGTAAACGGAATGCTGACTGGGACGTCTCTGCAGACACGAAGGTATATCGATCACATTTCATTCCACCTCTGTTGCGCAGAGAGACTATTTTCATCTAAGTTCTTGTGCGTTTGCGCTCTTGCTCACGTTTACTCTTGCTGGTTGGTGCTCACCCGCATGCACCTATCTCGACTAAAATGATTAATTTGCACTTAGGCTGTGGCCCTGATCGCACAACTAGATACGTTTGGCATATCTCGCCTGCCTGGTTAAACAATAGGTAGTCCCTCCGCGAAGATTGGTTGCTGCCAAACGATAGCGTATTGCAGTGGATGTTAACTTTTTTGTTTGCCACTGTGTCTTCACCAATCTGTGGTATCTGACTGGTGACCTAGCTTCAGCGTCCAGTGCCGGAAAAATGACTCACCGAAGGGAACACAACTGCTTTATTCCGAGCAAGCGAGTGTGAAAGCATGAGTGCGAAAATACGACCGCCTCATGCTATTTTATTGGAGCGCACTGTCTTAACTTGATCCGACGCTGATTCACACTGTCTGGCTCTGATACAAGGCCGCGAGGCACTGGATATTGAGGGGGAAGGTGTCTGTCTAGTCAGCATCTAGTGGAGCTAATAAGGGTGTCAGTAGATTCCGAGCACTCAATTGTTACTTTCATGAATCTGACCTTCCTGTTACTTAGTGATTGTCCTGTAAATTTACTGCAAAAAACTTTACTTGACACCAGGTGAACTGTTAAATTACATGCTCATGCGCACCTGTTGAAATTCACCAGAAGATACCCATAACTCAATACGTTATTAGTTTGTTCTGAGTGGATGTAAATTACTGCATGCTATTTACAGCCCTAGGTACCTGTCATCATTGGTTTTCTGCACCGGAACATTACGACAGCTGGCTGATATTCCACTCAGCATAACTTTCTGATGATATTAGAAATTTTGACAATGTTGACGGTCCGGTCCTAATACAAGTTCGAAGAGAGTGGTATTTGCGCTTGGATTGACTTTATTTCAGGATACTGAAATCACAAGGCTCGAGCATTCCTTCATAAAGCACTCGAGCAGCAGTTCTGAATTTAATTTCCTCATCCACTCTTTGGGAGTAGTGCAAACTCTATCAAGAGAAGTGATTTGTCGATAAACCTCGGGCTATAGACTGACTGTTACGAACGCTCTCCAAATTTCAGGATCATTGGTGAATGCAACACCAAAGCAACACAGGAAAGTCCCAACCCGCACTTTATTCAGTTTCTTCCAAGTATGTGGTTTGACGCTTTATGGACCTCACAAACACGCTCAGAAATAATGTCACAGGTGCCTGTCTCCTTTGGATAATCGAAAACCTGGTGTGCTCGATAGCTTCATGCTTCTACCATCTTACGTTGCGGAATACACTGTAGGTTGTGTCGAAACCGTGGGGATTAACTTCAATTCACTAGGGTAGATGATTAGGAGAGGTCTGTAAGTCATATTAGGTTTTACTGAACCGCAGAACACTGCAGGTATTCGCCAATTTTAGTGTTGTCCTATTTCTCGTTGACACGCTTCTCGGCTGTCCTTCATAGTCATCGGCAGATGGCCCAAGTGGTTAGAGCGCGAATTTACGGACCGGAAGGTCCGTGGTTCGAACCCGACCTCTGCCACTCGACTTCCCCTGTCTAGGCTTGGGTAGCCTGGCAGTATCCCGGCCCTTGTGCTTCCTTTGGGTGGCATGGCAGTTAGGCACCGAAAGGGTGCTACAGCTGAACGATTACATGCTCCGTATTGACTCGTCCTAGCACAAGTGAGCAATAATCTGTACAGCTATCCAGCATGTTTTAAGGCGCACTTCATGGAGGGCTTTTTTTTTTACTATTCCTGTTCATTTCCACCTGTACGTTGCTCTTCTGTCAATCTTAGCTGGGCGGAGCTTTTTTCGCCAACTCAAATCCAAGTGTGCGTGGTACTTTCCCAGTCCCAAGGGTGTCTGTTCATTGCAGACCACCGCACCATTCTACCTGGTGTATTTACCTCTATCCGTCACTGTGGTCCTTAGCTTTTCACCTGGTTAGTCCACGGTACTGATGTGCTTTGAATAGAGCTCAGTCAGCGATTATCCGTGCAGTAGTCGTCACTCAAGTTCCTAATAGGAATCCAAACAACTCCGACCCCTTACGTCAATACAGCGCAGATGCTGAGGATGTAAGAAAGAACTTGCTGTTTCCTTGAGAATGTTCTTGGTTGATCAGTTTCTCTTGTTGGCCTACCCCTTTTAAGATACCAAGTAGATTTCCCGGAACTAGCTTGGTTCCTAGTCCTTCGTCCTATGGTCCTATAACCATTGTGCAAAGCAAAGCTGGAACCGCTACTTACGGCACAAGTTTACTCAAACATTTCCACAACCCACTAAGTTCTCAACAACCCAGCCATAAAACTAACCTGGTACTGTCGCTCTTACAACAAGGAAGTAGGCATGGAGTGTACAAAATTATTCGCATGATCCCTTGTTCTAAATTCCGCTTCATTTTCCATCCTGATATCAGCCACGCATTCGTCTTTTCCTGGTTCGTGGTGAAGTACCTGCTGAGGGTTACCTGTTAGAAGTTCCACCTCAGCTTTCCTCGCTCCGTTCCCAAGGCGTATTTCTGGCCTTGCAATACGCTCCTTTCGAACGCTCAGTACACAAGGCTTGGTTGTGGTGTGGTCAATGCGCTGCACAACCTACCGTGGACACTGGACGTCATATAGTAAACCATTTGCGTGAAAGGTAACTATGATGGTTCAGTCATTTACTTGTGAACGACCATTTTGATCGGGTTGATCCAATTCATATATATAGACGAGATCTACATACCAGGAGCTACTTGAACTTCCTTCGAGTAATGCAAGTCGTTGACTATTGGAACCAGAATAATAAAAACCTCTCATATTGATCGGACGCATAAATCACTCTGAAACAGAGTCTGACACAATTGTTAGTGGCGTTTTGCTGCCAGATTGCACACCTCTCGAAAGATTTATGCATATGGAGCCAATTTCACAGGCGAAACATAAGTGAACTACCTGTTACTCGGTTGATCTGTCGATCAAATGGAAAGTCAGTCCTAGATCAGGTCGGTTTCTCTATTTGCTGGGATACTTGATATCATTTTATAGCAGGGCCAGTTCAATCCCTCCTGGGTCGCTCCAGACTGCTATTTTTAATGTCCCCAATTCTTAGAGGTAGCCTACGAATGAAGTTTCAGCCCTAAACACTTATTTAGCTCTCAACAGATTATCTGAAACAGTTATGAGGCACACCTTGGAAGGTTCCGCGCATGTTTAGGCAATACAGCAATTCATTCACGTCATCAAATACTGTCACGGTCTGTCTTTAGGTAGGTTGCTGCTGTTTTAGACACTAAACCCAAGTCAGCTAATTAGGCACATCCGGTGCACACTGAATACAGCGATGTTATCGCGACTGGTGTCTTCTGTGTTCAAATGAACTGAGAGCGAATGCACTTTGCAATGAACTGAACTTCTGTCCAACAATGCATCGCTACTGGTTTTATTGTTCGGTTTATGGTTTGCAGGACGCGGTACAGATCGGACGCAACTAGAAGCCGCACTTTGTTTGGTTTGTCAGGNCAGCCAACACAGCTTCTGGTGCTGGATACACTCTTCGATGGAGGTACCCGTTGCACAACCGAAACGCCACAATCAGGTTTTGGTACACCCTCACGACGTTTAACTGCACCTTGTCCACTTATTAGTAGCGGACAAAATGATCTAGCTTGAGTAATATATATATATATATATATATATATATATATATATATATATATATATATACTGTTTATATATAACGTTGGAAGGCAATCAGGAATAGGTATCTAAGCACTCCATCAATTTTGTTTATCCCTGAAGCGACGGAATTCACAGTTTCAAACACAGTGCGAGAGTCTCCTGGTAAACTGAAATCCGTCTTCTAAACCCAGTATTACTTCCATTCTTGTCAACATCATCTTTTCAAATGACTGGGCGGAAGGTACACGCAATGGAGCTAAATTTTAAGAAGCTGTTTTTAGGGGAAAATGGTTAAGCTAGCTGACCATCAACAATCAGTCACTTGTATTGTGGGCAGATGAGCGGAAAAGAGGGGCAACACGATCTTACAAAACGACCGTAATCAACACATAAGGACCACGATCTAGTTTTCTGTGGATAACCTCAGGTCGAATGACCGTCGACCGAATAGGTAAAGCGAAACTTCTTGAGGAAAGTTTAGAAGGATACGATGTAGGGGATTCCTGATTGATCTTTTCGGTATCAATGTCCTCACTGGACTCTCTCTTCATCTGAGTTTCGTCAGGACACGCTACACTTCACGTCGACTTTGTTTCCCAATGTGCAGTTTCAGTAGGTAGGCGATTTAAAAGTTCAGGCTCGAGTTTGGCCTGTGCCGATACGCTTCCAGCATCAACTTACAACCCAGCTCGATTTCTGACTTCTGTGTCGCTTCAGTTTGAGCGACGTGGATCTGTCAGCACCAATCACACTGGACTCCTCTGGACAGCAAAGGATGAAGCTAAGGTTTAAGCAGTCTGTACTGTACTCACAACAGGATGTGGAGTGTCGGTGAACAAACCATATCCTTTGAATTTCCAAGGTCTCAGATGATCAGCCCGTCTCTTATACCAGTTTCTAAGTACAACGTGAATAGTGAAAGCAGTTGTTTTGCAGCAAACTTGAGGGTGCAAGATTATGACTTGGAGGCCTGATGTACTAAGGATGCAGTCTTTTGGACAAAAATACGTGAGTCATCTTTAACGACACCGTCCATTTATAACTTAGAACTCGCGAGAAAACGTGCTCCGTTGCACAAACCAAATGAAGTCAGGAACAGAGGATAAAATCCCTTGAAATTTTCCACTGTTTGTGGAGTTAGTTTCACCGAACTCTACCACTGAATTGTTAGGTTAAAGGTAGGTGTCAGCTACGACAATGGAGTGAAAGAAATGTAGCTCCCACTGTAGAGTCAGGCGGTGTATGGATTCATTGCTAATGTCATGCAAGACCTTCGTGGATTTGCGTCAGGTTGGTGTCATTTTGGTGGTAATACCTCTACCACAACCGTTTATAAGCGTATCACTTCCGAGTATACTTTACCCTTCTATATCTATTGCGCCATCCTTGGTGTTTTCTGTCATTCGGACTTCCTTAAGCATAACAACACCAGCGTTCTTTTATCCGTTCCGAAGCAGCAGAGCCCAGGGTCCGCCCAATTAGCTGACCATCTAGCATCTTGTTCTGTAGATGGGATGATTATTCTGCTGAAGTTGAGGCATCTAAGCCCGACAAGTCATGTCTGAGTGATGTTTGTTTGCCAATCTGCGACCTTCGTCTATGCGCCTTTTGAATCGGCCCAAGACTCAATGACCAAAGTTAAATATGCAACTGACGCGGCATTGGAGAAATATTCCAAATGTGTGCTACTCTAGACAAGGTTACATAAATAAACTTCTGATTCGAATACGTGGAAATCAAATTTTTACTGTAACTCCGAAATACCACTTGGGAGCATGGCCTGTTTCGAGTACCTCGTTCCGAAGAAACAATGGCTTATTTAAGCATTCAGTATTTTCGAAACTTTTTCATTTGACTCATGTCTCCTCCGTTCTTTTCTCTATGACTACTACTACTGTCAGAAAGGTTTTAATAACCTCTCGATTTTCTTTTTTTCTGAGATGTCCACCGGAGTTGGCTACCGCCATTCCGAATGTATTTGAAGTGCATCAAACCGAGGAAAAGCTAGGACCCGGCGAACTGGTCTTCCTCCTGAATGCCGAAGATACTCCTTCCTCTTTGATATGTGCTAACCTGGAACGTGGTGAGTGCTTACCTTCGAATTCCTTATACAGAGGAAATTTATACCACTTTTTTGCCTATGGTGTCTATGGTGACGGTTAAAGAGGTTTGAATGACTCTTGACCGTCCTTATCTTTTCTTTCGTGTGATTTAAGCTCAGGGGCCACTTGTGATTTGGCACTTGACTGCACCCGTCTCGCAACAGCTAAACGTACGACGGTTAAGTTACACTCTTCAGCCCGATGCGACGCTGCCCGTCAAGCTACCCGAATTCCAAAGCGCGCAACCGGTCACTGATGTCAATCCGATTGAAATGTCGAAAATGGTTGCCGAGCGTTTGCGAGCCTCGAGTGACGTGGTTGCCCTTGGTCAACAAACAATCAGTGCTCCAGTCAGTTTTCCGTTCCTGTTGAAGGATCTATACGCCGCTCCGCAGCCAGGTAGGTTTTGGCAAAAGGTAATAAATGTCTGACAATTCTACTCAATGTGTTATGTAGTACGGAGAAGTTAAACTTTTCTTGCTAGACGCTATACGATGTTTGTATGCAAATCGCAGAACTCATTCGTGCAAAGCGCTTCGTTCACAGTCAATTTGATAGTTAGCTTGGGATTTCCGGTGCAGGAATTCGACGAAAGAAATCCGCGTTTAGAGCGCTCAGAAAGGTCTCTACGTAGTATTAGTGGTCAAGTTTTCAACCATATTTCGGGTTGTAAACACTATATCTATCTTTCAGGAAAAGATAAACGTTTTGGGAACGTGATAGACGGTTACGACCGAAACCCATGAATGTACTCAAATCGACCTGGCTTGCTTCGTTGTAGACACAACATATTATTGTCGTTCCTCCAACAATGCTAAGATGTGTAGTTGCTCTTTTTTGGAGCTCGTAGAAGGATTTTGCGGGGGACACCCCATCGTTCTTCCCAATAGCTTCGTTTTAGGTGAATATCATGTGGTACTTACGTCTTTCTAACGATCCATGTTTAGCTCTGTTTCTGGTGCTGTCCGGTACGAAGCATGTCTTCCTTTGGCAAGGTTGGTGGACTCCCAACACTCGACTCAAATCTCAAACTCCTAGCCCCTCTGTCGGACAACAGTTATCGCGACCCTCAGTCGTTTCACAATCCACATCTAATGCTGGTCCCTATTCGGACAATTCTCCTGAATGTATCGACGACAGTCAGCTCGATATAGAAGACTATTCAGAACCAACCACTCCAGAATCGACCAGAGGTAGATTCTACGCCTTGCGCCAGGCCGCTCTTAACACAGCTGGAGCACTGGCCAAACGAGGTAGGTTATTTGAAATATGCTACTGTATCACGTGCAAACACCTACCGTCTCTCTGGAAGTCATATTACTGCCTCCTTAAAATCAGAGCTACTCGCTCTGTTTATTGTGAGTCACTTCGCAACACACTATCCTTTGCCCTTAACAAACCATATAAATGTTTTTCCGTCCTAGTTGGAACAACTGCCGTGGTCGTGTACGGTGGTTTGGAGCCACCCGAGTTCTTGTGCCTCTTCCCACCGTTTGCGCGCAACCCGGAAGCTAGTCTCTACCATCTACGCGAAGTGAGTGCTATCAGTGGAACTCACGCGACTAATCGTGACTTACAACCATTTTCAGTTAAACAACGATTTACAGAGGTATGAAAGCAGTATTTGGAAAAAGAGATCTCTTTTTTGTTGTCTTATTATTGGGTTTAGAACGAAAAAAGACCATGAATTGGAATAGCCACCGAAAGGGGGCCGCCTTATGTCACATATGAGGTGAGTGAAATGAAATCGTGTTAGAATTCTAATTCTATCATGCTGTTTAGTTGGGGTCAAACTGACCGCGCAAACAAACAGAGATTGTGTGGTCAATTGACATTGGATTCCACAGCCTCTGGAGGTATTGGCCTAATTTATGGTGAGCCAATCAGATGCTCCGCTTTGTGGTGGTGATTGGCGATGGTGATTCCTATACCATTTACCGGTTCTGCGAGCAGTAGTTGTTGGCTAGTCGGGTGATCAATAGTTTTCTCCAAGAAAACCTGCAGCAATATCATTTGAACAGATAAATGTGGAGTGACAAGTCCATTCAGGACAGTCGTTTTACGGCTCTGAACTACAAGGTGGCCGGTACCAAGGCTATCACGTGACTGGTTGGATTCAGAGTGATATCCTCTATAGAAGGTTATTTTTTCCTACCGGACGATCATACTCCTTTTCCTAAGGTTGGGTTTAACCCGCCTTTTACAAACGACACAGGAATATCAGTTCTATGCTGTCGTATGGAGATATCTTCGGAGTAGTTTTAGTTAAAATACCTTAGCTTTTACTTCTGGTGAAGTGGAGTAAATCCGTGCGAAGTGTGCAATTTATCCCACCGAATGCATTTTTGGAACGCTTGCTCTACACTAATCTGTCTGGACTCCACAGTTTGTGGACATCTGTGCAGATATTACGGGGCTACCTTCACTTCACTTTGGGGCTGATTATTTAGCTTGTTGCATTGCATTCAAAATCGGTTCCTTTGGCTCCGGTTTATGGCTGTAGAAAGCGAAAGCCCTGTATTTCTCGTGAATATCGGTTTATTTTTGCATTCACAAGACCTTTCAATCCACATCAGCACTCTATCGTACACGCGCCTCATCCAAAGTGCACCTGTCTACCACGTGACAACACGGAATCAGCTGATTTCAGTCAGGTGTCAGGTTATTGATTGGTTATGAATTCACGGGATTCCGTTTAGACGGTTGCATTGCCTTCGTTGATTTCTGCTTGTGAGTTTATTGTCCTGATAAACTCAAACTCTGTCAGCAAATTGATTTCAAACCCAACGGGACTGTCGGTTGATAGACACCCTACCCGTGAGCCGATGCTTGAACCTGGATGAAAAATATAATTGATGTCGGGATATTGCAGTAGTTCTCTTAGAACACTCTCAATAAGTGATTTTTTTAAAACGCTGGATCATATAATTTCGATTCGTAGTTTTTCCTTCACATAAAACCTGCTTAAGATGATCTGGAGAGTTTAGTTGAATAAACTAGTAGAATGTACATAAACACTTTGTACTTGGGATTTTCGTGGTCTCATATTTACGACCCTCACGGGCTAAGAACACTGAGGATCGTTGGCTCTGCTCAATTGTTACAGCATCAGAGAGCGGGACTCCAATGACACACGAAATCAAGACTGTAGCTTTCAAAGGCTTTTGTACAAACAGGTGTTGCGTGAATCCGTGCGATGGTTTTCTGCATCAGCTTCATATTCGACCCTCCTTTACCCCGAATGATAAGGTGAAAGCTGCCGCTTTTTTGGACTTAATAATGCTTCACTCTCCAAGTTGGTATAACGCAAGTAAGTCAACTAGCGAAACAGACATATGTTGCTGTCTTACTAATTGCCACAAATTCTTACTGTTCTTTGTTGTACACTTAGCTGGCGAACTAGGTTTGAAAATGCCAACCACACCACACGCCTGATCATTTCATGCTTGTGTGTTGCATCGTTTTTACTCTCCCATCTCCATTCAGTACGCTGAGCTTTGTACATACGACTCATATATTGTGGTGCTAAAGTCCTCTAAGCTAGTTCCTCATTTGAGGTCCGAGATCACAAACAACAGTTTGAGACCAGCGTTAATCGAAATACGATTATGGCAGTGTGAGACCGAAGTGAAAATGACCATACTCTAAACAGTTACAAACAATTGAACTCATCAATCGAGTTTAATTTCATTGTACCAGTAGTTTCATTTCACCCTGATAACAATCAATGCTTTGTTCCTGGTACTTCATTTCAGGAGGCCAAGGTTGATGGACAGATGGATCCCGTCGATTCACAACTTACCATGTCCGCCTCGGTTACCTACACACTGGCTGAACTGCAACAGCGACCTTTGCCAGATGAACTGGATGCCACACGTTTAGAGATCTACCTGAGTCCTGAGGAATTTCAGGTTGGTGCGAAATTTTCAGGATGCTTGTACAGAGGTTCAGATTTAAGATCGCCAAAGTGGTTAGAGTGCGAATTTACCGACCGGAAGATCCGTGGTTCGAACCCGACCTCAGCCTCTCGACTTTCCCAGTCTAGGCTTGGGCAACCTGGCAGTATCCCAGCCCTCGTGCAACCTTCGGGTGGCATAGCAGTTGGGCACCGAAAGGGTGCTACAGCTGAACGGTAATATAATATTAACATCCAAAATTATCATTATGGCCGTTGAGGTCGTTGACTCTTCATCCGTTAATCCCATCACCTGATAGTTCTCTTCGTCGAATGGGCACACTTTGGAATCCAGCCCCCAATGAATTTTCTAAGGTGAATATGTAAGCGTTCACTTTTTTTATTGTTTTAGCTGGCAAATGTATCGACCCGATATATATTAGGTCAGCAGTGATTGGCGAATACATCTCTCTGTACAATGACCTGAATGAACTGAAGATTCCCGTAGGGCTTAGCAAGAACGAAATTCCTAGTGTGCCTCATGTTCCTTTATGTTACTTCCGCAGCTGCACTGCATTTACACCCACCATGACGACGCTTGTATCGTTTGTTAATGGTTCTGGTTAAGTGATCTTCGGCCTCAAATCAGCCGGGTACAGTCAGTGTTCATGAACCGAAATTCTATGTGAGTGTGATCGTACCGGTGATTAAACAGAATATTGCTAACGGGATAGCCCTAACCTCAGTGTGTACAAGTCAATGGGAATTCACGAGGGTTATCTGGGCTGAAAAGTCCAAATTTTCCTTCCGCGATACAAAACTAGCAAACTTTTTAGAAACCGCCAAAGAATAAAATTCGGACACACATTTGTTCCTTATGTAATGTCGAAGCAGAACCTGCTTGTGTTTCTCCAGTTCTCCTCAAGTTCTTCCTTTTGCTGTCAAACCGTAACTTCTGTTTCATATACTTTCCTCCGTGCAGACCGTTTTTCGTATGTCCAAAGAAGAATTCGATTCATTACCCGCATGGAAGAAAGCCCAGATCAAGAAGCGTCTCGGTCTTTTCTGAGTAGTTTTTAAGCGCCACTTTCCTACCGACATTTTAGCCCACGCCTTGCACACCTGCAAGAATGTGCCAGCCACTGATGTCTTGAGTTCGTGATTTCCCTACGTTGTTGAACTAAATCTGAGGAAAACTGCTTCGCTCTTTGTAAATCAGATAAGGTTTTCTGCATGTGTACTAATTCGCACAGTTTTGTGGTACAATCTTATTATTGATGGTGATTTTCAGCATACCAGCTACTTTCTATTCACTTAACTGTACCTACCCTATTTTTGTATCCGTTTACACGGATTCATTTTACCGAAACAACCGCTGGACAGACACCCACCACTATGAACTACTATATTGTGCCTACTCTCTCCTGTCTTTCATCCATACCCTTTGTTCGATGACTTATTTCCATCCCGGCCCATGTAGTGAGAAACGTACTTCCGCTACTCGATTATTCTTCATGCATACCTTCACCTTGCTCCTTTCTTCAGTTGTATTGAATCCAAGCTGCTACGCATACTTCAGATCCCGTTCATACTGCTTGAGATATGTAGGCACTCTCTCATACACACACGCACAACAACAGTAAGAAACGTTCATTTTGCTTACTTCGCATTTTACCGGTCTCAATCTGTTTCTGCCAAAGACTTCTTTCCGGTATTGTTTGGCGTTTCTCTTTATTTGATTCCGCTATGGCGGATTACTGCTGTTAATGACGCGGTCATTATCATTACCACACACACGCAACAGTAAGAAACGTTCATTTTGCTTACTTCGCATTTTACCGGTCTCAATCTGTTTCTGCCAAAGACTTCTTTCCGGTATTGTTTGGCGTTTCTCTTTATTTGATTCCGCTATGGCGGATTACTGCTGTTAATGACGCGGTCATTATCATTACCTTTGCGTGCGAAGTTAATTTGAAATACAAAGACATACATATACATGTGATTTATTTTTATAACTCAGTCTGTCTATGCTCGTTCTATGAGGACCCTAGGTCTGTATAAGCCTTAGGTGAATTAGGATCTCGCTTCAATTGAATCCAGCTGAATGGTCTGGATCATAGTGTAGTGTTACGTCCTACATCTTGCTAATTCTCTGTGTCTGCATGTGCAAACAGGTTTAATCCATTCCTGATGTGATTGCTCTAGTCCGTTCGCAAAAGAAACGACTGGTTCGTTGTAGTGGAACCTGTGTAACGCTCATTGTGTATCCGAGCTGTTCCCTTGCTACTTTTTGACCAGTTCACTTGTTTGTTCTAGCCCAAGAGGTTAGACAGGTATGTTTGTTCATGGTCTAATATTTAACCGGTTAACTCTGGCTGTAGGTATCTGGTCGTAGCTGCTCGTGCGTAGTGGTCAGTGGCAAAACACGTAAGCACCAACACTTTTAGTGTGGTCAGCACAAAACTCAACGTTGTCAGTTCAAATTTCAATCTTACATTCCGGTCAGAAAATTGGCTTATCACTGTTTTTGAACGAGAACCGTTTTGTTTGTGTTATCATATGGGCAGTGGTGAACGCCTTATCCAGATCGTCGGAGTTAGCGACTGTTGGAACGCACTTTATGTGAGGTTGGCCAACTTCCACTTTGCAATTATTTGTAAAGCTCATTGATAAGGTTACTCAAGCACGAAGCAGGACCTATCCAATTTAAGCTGGGCTGACTTGGGTATTTCTTTCCTGCAGACAAGCTGAAGTAATATGTGGGCACTGAGCACGCGGACGATGACTTCGATGTGGCCAGTCGACAATGATGACGCAGAGCTTTTTGTGGTCCTCGGGTGCGTGTGAATTCGTAAAGCTCGATGACTCTTATGACGACCGTCAAGACCCCATGTGATCCTCTGGGTGAGCTCTGTCAATCATACTGAAAAACTCTAATAGCCACGCCGGTAATTCATGCCCAATCGGGCTTTCGGGCTTCGTTCATTTGTCACCGGGCCCGTTCACTCGGCTTCACTTATCGTGGTATGAAACCGGGCGAAATCATTACCTGATTGGTGTTGGTCACCGGATAGGCCTGGTAGCACTGACTGTGGACACGTCTACAGGCGGGAGAGCATGGCAGTCGTGACTACCTGATTTGCAGTCGAGGCCTAATCCTATCAATACGTATGATTGTATGTGGCTGGGACGGATGAGCTCGACGCGCGTCGATTCTGTCCAATAGCCAGCCCCGGGTGCCCACATGGCAAATAAATCATCTGCGATTCGGTTGGCCAAAGAAGCGAAGTAAGAGTTGGTATTCTGATTCCGGACAGCTATCGGTGTCCATTATCCGCACAACGCTGCGTCCAATAACTAGCCCCGGGTGCCCAAATGGCGAATGAATCATCTGCGGTTCGGTTGGCCAAAGAAGCGAGGTTAGAGTTGGTTTTCTGATTCCGGACAACTATCGGTGTCCATTATCCGCACAACGCTGTCAGCTGCAAAACCTTTACAAGTGGAGTAAAACTTTCTACGTCAAAATGTTGTATTTTGTTGCGCCTGTGCTCAATCGAAAACCGTCCTAATCTACATCCATATTTTTGCAGCTCACCAAAGTTCATTTTTCACTGAGGCAACCATACCTCTCGCTGAAAAATCTTGCGGGATAATTTCCAGCGATTGCTGAGACCCCGGGATAGCTAAATGGGGCTTGAAGGTTTGTATTAATACTCTCAATTCAATAACCCGATTGCTCCAGTCCATCAGGGACACTTCGTAACTTTCGAAGTTTCAATTCCATTGTGCGAATGGCTAAATGGGGCTTGAAGGTTTGTATTGGTACTCTCAATTCAATAACCCGATTGCTTCAGTCCATCAAGGACACGTCGTAGCTTTCGAAGTTTCAATTCCATTGTGCGAATACTGAGCGCCACAACTATCAAGCTGCAGAAACTACTGCTTAAACAGCCCGCAGATCCAGCGTGAGCGATCCAAGTCTAATCCTGGTTGCTGGATGAACAATCAGTAGGCAGATCCGAGAGTTTTGGGAGATAACAACCCAACCAACAAAAAGCACCGTGTGAACGCGCAGCCAGTTTCTGTCACCATTATGGCCTCCGAAACTACGTATAAAACACTGATTCAGTGGGTAGGCGAGAGATTGCACGTGAGTAATGCGTGCGGGATCAGTTCATGCCAAGAGAGAATTACTCATTATCAGAATAACAGATATTTAAGGTGACTGGAAGAGTTCTGTTACTGGATTGTAGACAGATCGGGTTCCCGGTGTGTATTGTTGGCAGATGACGCCATTTTTGATGTCAGTGTGTCTGTGTTTAATTCACAGATTTGGGCCCGAGAGAGACCAGTGGAAGCCATCCTCTACCTGTCTATTCTTCGACCGAGGTTTGTGACTTCAGCTAAGATTTCAGAATGATGGAAACTTTTCGAGGAAAGCGATACAGCACCGTTTGTATAACGCACTAAGTAGGCCATATCTCTATTTTCTATAAGATTACCTCGCTCCCAAATTTAGCTGAAATAACGTTGTGAGAATAGGACTCAGTTTGTTTGAGGCATGATCATGCATCGGCTGACAGTGTTCAATGCGTTCGTAACTTTTCAAACGGGCCGGCGCATCTACAAGGGTTAGTTCAAATTTGGATCACCATGAACTCGCACTCTATCTCTCCTACTTCTTCTCTGGGGAGTGATTCAATGAAAGTTTGAAGAAACTGAAGCAGTTTATCCTGCAAGGATGTTTCTGCATTTTGGTGGGATTTTTCTTGAAACCACAGGTGCCCTGTATGGAGGCGCTACTGATGTACGGACAGAAGTTCAAAAGTAATTTTCAAAAACTTTTCTGATGAACAAACCCCCACACACTTTGATGATAATCACAGTGAATAAGTTTATCAAGTCACCTCACTTTTCAATGCATGATTAAGGAAGGGGTGCAAGTTGAGAGTGAGCGGTTCTCTTCACAGCATCTAAAGTACACAACTACTGTTCCGTGAGTTGGGACCTGAGCAGTACCACCTTAGTAAACAGTGTGACAAATATTGTCTTTCTTTCAATAATAGAAGTAAAGCCACCTGCTTCAGTCATGCCACATCATGGATAAACGTGTCATTAATTAGCCTTCCGACGAGTAGTGTATAACAGTTTGAATGACGTGAAACTAACGAGGATTGTGCTTACGTTAGATTATTAATGTGTACTAGTGGTCAACTCGGGACAGAAATTATTATTATGCTAGTAGTGTTGTTTGGAGAGCTCATGTTCAGTGGTCCCATTTCGAACTCGATTGAATGTAGCAAACTGAACGTGAAACCAGGAGGACTGTGTAGTCAAAACTACTGCGGTATAGTCAGAAATCAGGCGTTAACTTGAGTTTTTGACGACTGAAGTCTTGGTAGAGATGAGTGCTTCAGAATCCTGCAGTTCTGGAAATACCGAGCGAATAGGTTTATGTAGAATGGAGGTTTACGTCACACCCACACCGGTGAATGGCACTGCACTCAATCTATGTCCTATCTATCCCATTTTCCTTGTACGACAGTTGATAAGGTAGACATTTCACGACTTACACATGTGTACTATCCAGTTGCGAGTTGGTACATGTTCATGACAGATTACTCAAATGAAACAGATGATTATCACTAGAATCAGCGTTTGAAGAAATTATGAACGTTTTATTTAATAAATAATCTGAAATTGATAGATATTGTCCTTAAATTGTAGATAGTTGATCGTACTGGTGCTTTGTCTGAATGAATCATTTGGCCTCTGGAACATAACGGATAAGGGTAATTCTTAGGGCGAGTGTTTCAAACACTTCAAAAAACCCATGAATTATTTTCTACACCAGCTCAAACAAGGGATTGCCAGTTACTGGCTGGAAACCAGATAATATTTGAATCCCATTGCTCGACAGAACTAGTTCGTACAGAAATTCGGTCATCCACCATTGGCTCTGTTCCTTTTCGTTGGATGTAGTCAGCACAAAAGATTGCGTGGTGTTGGTTCATTAATTATTGTGTCAAAGTTGACCTTCGATTATAACAACTTACTTGTAATTAGATCTGGTGGAAAAATAACCGCGTGGATGGAGAGGACAGCTTTTGCGATCCTGTCAACCACAGTACGCACCACATAGATCACAAATAAACGTACAAATCAATATCAGAAATTCAAAGTTCAAATTTCACCTGGAAGACTAACAATGTATAGCCGAGTCACTTGAAACATAATGAGGGCAGCTTCTGACTTGGGCTCTTTTTCTAACCTGGGTAGGAGGTGAATCGTTTAATCAATAAAGTTTCAAGACGAGTCAATGGGCAGAATTTCGCACTTATTGTAGTGACGGTAAACGTTGAAGGAATACCATCCTATTGGCTTCAGTTGTTGCAAAGTTTGGAGACAAGGCGTTTGCCCAGCATTTGACTATCATCAACGATTTTTAAAGCATCTGTTCCAAAAACCAGCTGTTGGCATTCACCTTTTACTTCCGTAGCCCATCCAACTTAGACATTTAGTAACCTGTTGCAGAATAGGACCGTGCACAGTGCCTCCAGCAATTGCTTGATCAAAAAGAGAAAGATGCTTGACGGGTGTGGAAGTATTTCTTCTGGAATCCGTTATTAGTTTAATCCACTGTCTTTACCGGCCTTCATCCGTTTTATTGATTTTTATTGGAACGTTAGACGTGATGGTGAATTAGCCTGGCAAAAAGTTTCCATTAGTTTGCATTTCATGCTGAAATCGTAACATAAAACTCTAGTGGCCCAGCGTTGGAGGTGACTGTTAGGATGAACCGAGATGGCTTTTGTACATCCATGATGATGGTTTATGTGAACGATAAGTTGTCAGTCATGCGGCATTTCGTTTAGTTTCTTCAAAAAATCAGATGTGACATTTCTTTTCCAATTTAACTATAATCTTTCTCCGTTAATGAGAGTGAGCGAGTTTTTTGGGAAGGAGTTGTTTTTAAACTGGCCGAAAACCAATCCAGTGATACCGCACAAATTCCATATTTTGGAGCATCTGCTGCCAACATGATTGGAAGTTTGAGTAATGTGAGTAATGCTTAGTGATAGAAAGACTAACTGACAATGAATGGGGTAAACGGGTGTGAATTTCGGTGAACTACTGCAGTTTGAAGGTTTGAACTGGGTGCTGCTCTCTTAATATATACAATAGTATCGTCACGTGTCAGTACTTGGATTTTTACGAAGCGGTACTTTCAGTGGCACAGCGGAGTTTGCGTTACCAGATCTGACTCTAAACTGAGTAAATCACTGCAAACTGTATTTTCTTATTCGGTAACCGTGCTAATTAGCGTATGTCGGAAAGTCCGCATAGGCTGAAAAGAAGCTTTAATAATACGGAACAATGTTCGTTCGATGTTTCGATGGCTTTAACGTATCCAGCCTACATGTGACAAGATTTCGCTTTCATTTTGGATAGTTATTTGTGTGGTAACATATTAGGATGTATCGTTTTCGAAAAAGTTTGGTGACAATCGGTAGATTTATTGCTGGGCAACGTTTCGCTTTTGACACAAAAGCTTCGTCAGGCCAAGTGACTAGGTTCCGAGGTTGATCGAGATTTAAGGCGGAAGGAGAACCAATCGGCTAAGTCAAGCTAAATCTCTGTTGGGTGTCGGCAGAGGGATTTTAGTGTGTTAGAGTGGTTGAACAAGTGTTGGGTCGGTGGGGAAACCTACATGTGTTTGGGTCCTGCCTAGGGTCTAGTTCTTCCGGTTCGGTTCATTTGATGGTTCCTCTTGAACTTCATTTGAACCTTCTGTTAGTTTGTGTGGGTGAGCTAGTGCTAAGACAGTTGTGTAGGAGGGATGCTGTGACCTTTGGTCGGTTGGGGTTTCCACCCCCACACCCCGGTTTTTCTAATGATCCTAAGTGAATTGACAACCACACCGTCACGTGTCAACTCGGCTTATCTAAGACCGCTTTCCAAACGCTCGCTAACTCCACACCCTCGATTCTATTCACGCTGTGATGCTTAGTGATTTCCACCGCCTCGGCTATCAGCCCTTGTGGTGGGAATCGCAGCCCCCGTC